AGTCTGTGATTCTCAGCCAATCTGGTGGTTCAGTGTTACTGGCCTGAGGCTAAGTGGCTTCTGCTTGGGTCCTGCAGTGCCAGGGATACCAACCCCAAAGGTGCGCAGGGGACCTCCAGGCTTGCACCCAGGAATTGAACCCAGGTTAAGACATGCTAGGTGTATGCCCAAACTACTGTACCATCTCCTGATTATAACAAATCTTTTTGACAGCCTTGGGGATTGGGGATGTATGCCGCAGTGTTAGTAGAGCACATGTTTTGTGTGTGTGACTATTTCTCGTGAACTAACATAAGTTTTTTCTTTTTAAATACAGGTAATCTTTACTCTTCGTAGTTTCTTCGTAGATGAAGGTCAGTCTTCACAATGTAAATAGCACCAGCAATACAGTTGAAAATCGTAGCACAATAGTAACTAAACTGTTGTATAAACTTTACTGATAGCTGCTTCTTTAGTCTGTATGTTATTGTGCCAATAAAAGATGAGTATCGTGATAAATACACCATTGTCACTTCCTTCAAAGTCTGTTGGTGAGCAGTCATTAAGCATCAATTCAAACACGTACACACAAAGTATATATTTGAATTGCCTCCTTGTCACCCAATGGTAAATCCATGTGACATTGTTACAAAAATGATCATCAAGAGGAAATTGGTTAGTAAAGATGATCAAGCAGCAAATGAAATTGGTAGCCATGAAATGAAACTGAATGTGGTTACTGAATTTGAAGATGACAGCAAAACAATGATAGGACAAGACATTGCTGTGTGAAACTACAACTTTGTTTTAAAAACATCTAATCATTAAAAAAATGAGGTAAATTTTCATTCAGTATTGTTATGGGGCCACACATGGTTGTCCTTAGGGCTTATTCCTGGGGCTAGTGCGGGGGGAGGGGAGTATTGTATAGGGTGCTGGGGCTTGAACCTTGGGCTGGCTGCATGCAAGGCAAGTCCCTACCTTCCGTACTACCGCTACAGTCTATAATTCAGCATTTCTTAATAATTTAGGAACAGAAGTCTGCTTATGATGTTACAATGCATTGGGTTATACATTGTATTAACTGAGCAAAACTAAATTCCTGTTTGTCCAGCATTCACGCCAAAGCATTGAAGTTGGCACTGAAAGAAAATTATAATTGCAAGGATCCTGAAAAAACTTTAGTACTTTCAATAAAGGTTCTTTCAATCTTGTTCAAAGTTATCTTGAATTGGTTAAAGCAAGATCTGATAAAATAATGTCCAGGTGAGGATGTTACAGTGATAAAGAATTACTGGCAGTCCTTGAATTCCAAGACTTTACAAAATAATTTCGTGGAATTCTCATAGAGTGTAAATAAGACAGAATACAGAGACCGACAGGGGAATGTTGATGCAGCACCATTCAAGACGCAGTTCTAAGTGTGGCACCAGAGAAAGTCAAAAGTAGAGGGTCCTGTTATAAAGAATGAACAGAGGAAGTGGTAACAGTCAAAACTTCATATGAAAGGAGTTTGCAATCTCAAGCTATTAAAAATTCAGCATAAAATGGTAAAAGGTGTGCAGCATTTAGCTAGTTCATATGAAAGGTGCTCATTGGGGGCGGGCAAAGGGTAGGTAGGTAGGGATTTGCCTCACACCCAGCTGTCCCATGTTTGATCTGTGGCATCCCAGATGGTGTCCCAATTCCCACCAAGAGTGATCTCTTTAGTCAGGAATGATAACCTGCGCACCTTGGAGTGGCCCCAAACAAAAACAAGTGCTCATTTGAAGTTAGATGAGTAACACAATATTCTTTCTGTTTGGAGGTGGAAGGATGCAGTGTTCAAGATGTCCTGGGACCCTGCCGGTGCTCTCACCCAGCACTTTCAAGGGCCCGAGGATTTAGTTCTGTTTCTGAACTGCCCTCGCAGTGCTGGAGCCTCCAGGACTATCCTGGGCAATCCAAGTGGTACCAGGAATTGAACTGAAGTCAGGCATATGCTAGGCCTGGACTCTAACCATTGTCTCCTGACTTTTTCTGCTTTTCGGCTAGATCTGGTGGTCCTGGGGAATCACTCCTGGCTCTATATGGATGTTGAGGAACAAACATGTTGACCACATGCAAAGCAAAAACCCTATTAGTCCTGAAACATTTTTCTTAAAAAATTAGTTTTAGAATCAGGGATAATACAGCAGGTTAGGGCCTTTGCCTTGCATGTGACCCACCTGGCTTGGATCCCCGGCATTCCCTACAGTCTTCTTAACTCTGCCAGGAGTGATCCCTGAATGTGAGGCCAGAAATAAACCCTGAGTACTGCTAGTGTAGCCCAAAAAGCAAAGGGAAAAAGTTTCAGGGGGTTGGTTTGTGATGATGATGATGGGTCCCTAGATGATATCTAAGGCCTGCAGAGTTGTCCCCAGTGGTACTCAGGGAAGCATGTGATATTGGGGATTAGTTGAAACTATTCTGTTGGATGTAAAGCATGTGCTCAACCATTGGGCAATGTCTGAGCCCTAGTTTTGTTATGTTTCCAATACTAGTTTTTTACAATTGTAACAAATATTAAGAACTGTTTTCTTTAATACAAAGTTACAGATTGTTAATCCCATAGACCAAAATTTCTTTTCATTATTTATTTAGTCGAGGTAAGAACTGCATTTAAAACAAGCTAGGAAGTCTTACAGCGGAGTTTTGTTTTTATAGGGGAGTTATACTTAACTGAGGTTAATGTATTGAGTCTGGAATCAGTTTTATTTTAGTTTAAAGTTAATTCACTTTTTATATTGGCCTTTGTATGTACTGTATCATGACTTGAGTATAAAAGTTTTAATACTGAGTTTGTCATGTGTTCTTCATATTTAATCCATTTGTAACGGTATTGGGGATTGACTGGAGTCCTGTGTGGGCCAAGGCATGTGCTCCAGGCCTTGGAGCTCTCTTTAGCACATAAACTATAATTTGAATTTTATGTTTTCTCCCTTTTATTTTTTTCACTTGTTAACTCTGTGTGTGTGTGTGTGTGTGTGTGTGTGTGTGTGTGTGTGTGTGTGTGTGTTGTGGTTGGGCATCTAATGGGAGCATGTATAACACCAAGTTTCCGTCTAAGACTGAGAAAACCCAACAAATTAAAAGATGCTTTTCAGAGACTTGGCGTCTTTTTTGTTTTACATGAAACTAGTTTTTATGATCCTATGGAGCAAGATAAACTAGCATAGCTGTGTCATACACATACATTAATTATATAGATGACACTTTGCTGCTTGAATCATGGGGAAAGGTTCTAGTGAACCTCTTCCCTGTACCAAATGGCAGTGGGGCTAGGATCTTTGAAGGATGGGTTAGTACGCAGTTACAGGAGCCCACTATTTTGTTAACAGTTACTCACTTTTAATTTATATATATGTATATATATATATTTTACATTTAATAATCTTTGCAGCTCTATTCAAACAAAATAAGTTCAGGACAGTAGAAACTGAGTGTCTTGATTTCTGTCTTACATAAACGTTTGTTGGGAGGAGGAGAGGAAGTGGTGGTAGAAATGCACCCTAGCTCTACACAGGTGAACTTTGTCATTTGAACCACACGTGTAAGACACTGAGAGGCTGTTTGGAAAGATCAATGAGAGTATTTGCGACCAGTCTAGGAATCTACTATAAATCAGAAGACCAAATACCAGATGATCAGGGGAGGTGTATAAAGGAGCAAGGGACGAGACAATGTCTAAGAAACCCATAAAAAAAAATCAAACAAAGTTGAGCTTTGAGGTTGGGGAGGGCACAGTTAGGAGAGGATCTGAAGGGGTTCAGAGGCCTTGCTAAGGTGGGCTGGCAGTGATGTAACTCTCTGGCCTTGGAACATCTACAGTCTTGTAAACCAGTGCAATCTAAACTATTTATATTTGGTTTGGGGCCACACCCGGCGATACTTACTCGGGGCTTATTCTTGACTCTGTGCTCAGGAACTAAGACTCGTGGCGGGTTTGGGGAACCATATGGATGGCATGACCTCATTCCATATGCTCGAACTCCGGTGGGTCGCCTACAAGACAAACACCCTCTCCCCTGTACTCTCTCTAGCCTCTGCAATCGAAACCTTCAAAATAAGCCTTAGGAAAGACGGGGAAATGGGAGATCTGGGTAGGACCCAGGTTCCAGTTCTAGGTGCAGTGACGATCGTTGGGCTCCACTTCCCTCCTGTAAGCGACCCCTACGCTGTAGATGCCAGGCTCTGGCGAAGCTGGCCAAGCCGCAGGGACAAATGCCAAAGGGGTCGAATGCGTCCCCGACCACGGCGCCTCTGATCACCCGAGCCCACGACCGGCTTTGGAGATGGCTTGGGTTCCCGAGCTTGCAAGGACAAGACCGCAGCAGCACCTGGTGGGGAATCTTACGAAACGCGCGCATGCATCGAGGCCCGCGCAGCCGTCCCGCGCGCCGACTGTCGGTTGGGGACCTCTGCGCTACGTGGCGCTCCTCCGGGCCGCGGCCACGCCCCCGCTGCACCCAGCCGCTCCGTGCGTCTGACGCAGCCCAACCCCGGGTGCCCCCAAGCTGGGGTGCCGAGGGGTGGCGCGCTGCGGAGCCGGCAGGAGCGCGCCCCGCCCCTCCAGCCCGGGTCCGACGCCGCTCCCGGAAGTGCCGTGCGGGCGCGCGGGCTGCGGTGGGCGGGGCCAGCGCCGAGGTGGGCGGGGCCCGCGCCGCTCTCGTAAGTGCCTTGTGGGCGCCCGCGCCGGAGTGGGCGGAGCCAGCGCGGCTCCCGGAAGTGCCTTGTAGGCGCGCGCGCCGCAGTGGGCGGAGCCAGTGTCACTCCCGGAAAGTGCCGAGTGGGCACGCGCGCGCCGCGGTGGGCGGGGCCCGCCTCGATCCCGGAAGTGCCGTGTAGGCGCGCGCGCCGCGGTGGGCGGGGCCCGCGTCGCTCCCGGAAGCGTCACGGGCCGGACGGGCGCGGCGGGCGGGGCCGCCGCTGCCACGTTGGAGCGGAACGTGGAGGTGGCCCAGGGCCGGGAGGAGGGGCGGCGGCGATCGCGGGCAGTCGGACGGCGCTCACTCTCTCAGGCACGCAGGAACCGCTCGCCGAGGGTCCCCGCCAGGTACGTGCCGCGGCGGCCCGCGCCCCCGCCCCCTGCGCCGGGCCCGGGGGGACGTGGCCGGCCCGGGTGGCCGCCGCCCCGGGGAGCGCGGCGGCCGCGCCTGGCGACGGGCCGGGCCTGGGCCGGGCGCGGAGGGGCGCGGCCCGGGCCGGGCGAGGACGGCGGCGCGGGGGTCCCCGGGCGCCCGGGGGGTCGTCGGGGCGGGGTGTCGGCGGCTCAGAGGGCTCCGGGGGCTCTCGGGGCTGCTGTCACGTCAGCCGCTGTGCAGTGAGTGACCCGAGGCCCGCGGCGGCCGCCCGGGGGCCGGCGAAGCCCCGGGAGCCGGTTGTCGTCGGTATTGATTTGATTTCTCTGTGGCTAAGGGCTTTAGCTGCCAGTGGATGCACTGCGGGACAGGTGGGAGATAACTCAGAAATAGTGCCTGGGCTCGTAGGCATGGAAAAACTCCCCCCTGCGAGCTCCAGGGAGTCATTTTATTTTTATTATCATTACTATTATTATTATTTTTTGCAGGGTCTGAACCTGCGGGAACGGGCGGTGGTGACAAATCTGTCCTCCCAAACTTTTTTTTTTAGAAACCCCACCTAAAATGACAAAGCTCAGATTTTTGGTTGCCGGCGTTGGCCGCCGAAACTGTATCTAACAGGTCACTGGAGCCTGGCTCTGGTCTCGTTTTGGTCTGCGTTCTGGCAGCGCACTCCACAGCTGGCTCGCCCTTGGGTGGTTCTTCTGTGTCCCTCCTTTTTCCAAGCTGCCCCTTAATTGCAGCCCTGCGACAGGATTTGGAGACGCTGAAGATCTTGGGACTAGCTTGGGGTTTTGGCCGTGTGAGTCTGTGTTACCGCAGATCCAAGGTTATTTGGGCAGTGTGGTGTTTCTAGAATTATACTGCCTGACTTTGTAGGAGCGGGTTCTTTTCTGAAACTAGTAAGAATAGAATGAAATTTGTCAACGGTAAAGATCAGTGGTCTTAACGTTTTTGAGATTGGCTAGTGTTGGCTCATGTTCCTAGAAAAATGCACGTTGCACACATAGGATCTTCTATATAATTTCAGGAGGGTTACAAATCCCAAATTAAAGGGAGTTGGTCTAGATCCTTTGAACAGATGTGTCCATTTCTAAGAGATATTTGTTCAGGCAATGTGGCTTCTTTCCTAAAGAAATCTTATCCCTGTTTTGGGAGTCAGAATCTTCAGTTCTATCGTTCAGCATTTTCCTTTTTTTTATTTTAAACTTGAGGTGTGGATCAAGTCTATGTAGCATTTGTTGTGTTTTTTTTAAGGAACAGAACTGTTGGCTTGCTTCATAAATTTGACATCTAGAAAATGAGCATCAATAAAAGTTTCCATGAAGTTTCTCCTGGAGAGAAACTTGGACAAAAAGGAGGATTATTTTTGGATATTAGGAGTTACACCCTGTGATGCTCAGGGTTTCCTCCGGACTCTGCAGTCCGGGATCACTCCTGGTGGTGCTTGGGGGACCACATGGGGTGCTGCGGCTCAAACCCTTGTTGGCTGTGAGCAGAGCAAGCTTCTTGTCTTCTTGGACATTCACTGGGATGGACATTTGTTTGGTAATAGCTGACACCGCATTTCTTGAGTCTGTGCTAGTCACTCTTCTAAGTGCTGTGCATCAAATCTCTAGTCCCCATAATAACCCATGACTTAAACACATATGCTATTATTATTTTATCAAGGACATTGCCAGAGGTACACGTAGTAAAGCCATGTGCCTAAAATCAGACCTGGGCCAGCTGGGGCTGGATTGAAACCCTGTGTTGGCTCCAGAGCCCAGGCTCCTAACTGCTAGCCCTAACTGTTGTTTTGTAGATGGCAAATGTGCCCCAGACACACCCCACCCAATTTTCTATTGTATGTTAAAAAATGATCATGTCCTTCCTAAAATTGTGTTGAACAAAGCAAGCCTGCATAGTGTGAATTCTTGTTGCATATAATTCTGGGGAAAAAATTGGCTTAATTTGCCTTCTACGTGGCAGACCCTGGCATCCCATCTCGTCCCCCAAGCATTGCCAGGACTAATTCTTGAGTGTAGAGCCAGGAGTAATCCCTGACCATCGCCAGGTGTGGACCCAAAAAACAAACCCCACATAATACTGGAAAAAATTATACGAAGGCTGTAAAATAAGTCTCACTTGGGATACAGACATGCTTTATTCTAAATCTCAGTATGTTCCAGAAAACTAGTGATAATGAAATGATCATTTTTCAAGAGAAGAAATTACATATGCATCCAGATGAAACTATTTCCTCAAGATTCTGTTGTTTTTTTTTTTTCCCATTGGGGTGGGTTGCTGTTATATATGAGATGCGTATGTTCTACCACTGACGGTCATAGTATTGTCGATAGCTTTGACAGTTGACCAGTGGGTTGATATGGTGCTCTTGTCTAATTTAATTCAGGTCACAGAAGGTTAGTTCCAGACCATTGTAGTATAATGACTCGTTTTCTGTTTGTTTCTTACAGATGGTATTGAAGCCTTGGGTTCTCGACAGGTTACTTAATGAAACTACTCCTAGTAGATCACTGAGTGCTGAGATCAAGAAAGAGACTTATCAATTCTTGAAAATCCCACTTAGTCATTTTATGTTCTTGTGGATTTGTCTCTTTCTCTTTCAGTAGTTGTTACACATTAACTAGGTGTTCATTAATTTAGGTGACCTTTTTGTACCTTTGCTCTTAAAGATAATGCAATTCACTTAGAAGGTTTTTAAAAATGCAGATCAGGGGGCCAGGAGCGATAGTACAGAGGATAAGGTAGCTTGCCTTACACCTGGCCTGGGCAACCTGGATTTCATTCCTGGCATCCCATGAGGTCCCCAAGCACCACCAAGGACTAATTTCTGAGTGCAAGACCCAGGAGTAACCCTTGAGCATCACCAGGTGTGGCCCCAAAACAAAACAAAACAAAAGCTTTTTTATTTATTTAATTTTTTATTAGGGATACAGTGGGGAAAATAAGCAGTATGCACTAATGAAATGTAGTAAAGTTTCATTAAAGTGAAATGGAATACTTTGTTACAAAGTTCTTAAAGCATTTTAACAACAGTTAATGAAGAGTTACAAGACCCATCAGAGCTGTGTGGATTAGATCCTCTGGTGTTTTTTCATAAAGGAGCTAGGACTTGAATTTATTTAAGACTTGATCCTTAACTGACACTAAAATAGTTTTGGTTGAAAGAAATTTAGGGAGATATATAGGTGGCAAAAATGAGAGAGAGTTTCAAAAGAGAACACTGGCTTGAGAAAGGCAGCCTTTTTTCTTCTTCTTTTTTTTTTTTTTAGTTTTTGCACCACAGTTGGTGGTGCTCAGGGCTTACTCCCAGCTCTGTGCTTAGGGACCACTCCTGGTAGGGCTCAGGGGCCCATGTGACATGCCCAGGATCAAACCCAGGTGGTCCACATGCAAGGCAAACGCCCTACCAGCGCACTGTGGCTCTGGTCCCCTTCAGAGCATTTCTTACTGAAGTAACTCAATGAGGAACTTTTTGAAGTAACTTGTAGTTTGGACTCTGGAGCTAAGCTTCTGAGTTCAGCTCTCTGTCCTTTTGCTAGCATGTAGAAATTAGACTTTCTGTGTCCAGTTTTATCACCAGAACATTTTCTTGAAGTATAAACAATTGGTATATGTTAAGACTCAGGGCATCATTAGTCTAAGGTCCTTTTACTTAATGTCAGGACTCGAACACAGGGTCTCATATGCAACCCCCGAGCTCTACTGCTGAGCCCAACCCCAGCCTAAGGTCCTCTGAGAGAGATGTGTAGGGATGCATCACCCTCTGAAGATGGGTTAGAAAACGGGCCGAGGTGCTGTTGGACAGTTGTAACTGTTGGCCTGACTTTATGAAAAATTTGAGTAAGAGAAAAAAGAAAATGGACAGTAATAGTCGTCTGGGGTAAGGTGCTTTTCTTGCATGCTGCTGACCCCGGTTTCATCCCTCACACCACTCGGGGTCTCCTGAAAACCAGCCGGGGTTAGAAATAGACCCCGAGGACTGCTGGGTATGGCCCCGCCCCAAATGAAAAGGAGTAAGATATACATATTTAAGTATGTGACAAAGTAGGAATTGATTGTAAAAATTAAAAAGTTAAGAACTGGGAAATAGGAAGAAAACTGGAGGTAGGAAAAACTTGTGGATTTCCTCACTTCGCTAATGGCTATCAGAAGACATCATTTCAGGCGGACAAATCTATTATTAGAGGCATAGACATATTTAATGGTACAAAGGTAAACACCAAGGAAGATAATACTGTTGACTATGACTGTAGAACAAGAGGGGAAATCTTGTAAAAGATTATGCAAGCTAATTTCATTTGTACTTACAGTAGTTGTTGTGTAAAGAAATAAAGATTAAGGTTATTAAATGAAATTATGAACTTAGAACCACAATATCCTATCAGTGAATTTTAAATAGTGTTAGATAATCTATTAAATATTTTCAAGTTGGATCACTAAGCATAACCTGATTTTTTTCCTCCCTGTGCTTAAGATAGTGCAAAGAAAAAGACTTAGGCTATGGGTCTTAAAACAGGAATAAATAGAATTCAGGTCTAAAAACATTCTTTAAGAAGCAAATTTCAGGAAACTAAAATGTGTTTCTGGCAGTGCCTTTAACATTGTAAATGACTGTCCAATAGCTATCAAATAATAAAGTAGCATTCTTTTAAAGCCAGTTTTAGGGAGATAGTAGGAGAAATAGATGCAAATGTTTTATTAGCCATAAGCTTTTAATTCAATCATACTTGGTTCAGGAGAGAGAGAGAGAGAGAGAGAGAGAGAGAGAGAGAGAGTGAGTTGTGGGGCGGGGCATTGTTGAATACCTAAACAGTGAGGTGGAATTGGTTAATACTTCTTGAACTCAGAAGACCTCCCTTCTTAAGCCTCTTGAACTTTCACAAAGGTTTGGTTAGAGGATCCAAAGAAAACATACTGAGGGCTGGAGCGATAGCACAGTGGGTAGAGCATTTGCCTTGCACGCGGCCAACCCGGGTTCAATTCCCAGCATCCCATATGGTCCCCTGAGCACCGTCAGGAGTAATTCCTGAGTGTAGAGCCAGGAGGAACCCCTATGCATTGCTGGGTGTGACCTCCCCCCCCCAAAAAAAAAAACATACTTAATTGAATTACAAAAATGGGGGGAGGGCTTACAGAAAAAAAAACAACAATGCAATAAAAGTTGACTCTTCCACCAGAATATTGAATTCAGCTCCTGGATAGAGAATATAAGTGGAAATTGTAGAATACACATAACTGTAGCAGCAAAGACACTAGGAATAAGTGGGATCTGGCAAAAACAGTTTACAGAGAATATTCAAAGCCTTAAACACTTAGAATATGTTTTTAATTTATTTCCTTTTCTTTAGCCTTTAAAAATACTTTATAGAGAAAGAAGAAAAACCAGTGACTTAAGCATTTAACTCAAAATTTAAAACAAATATAGGACTAAGAAGTACAACTGAGAAATAGAACTAAGTACTGAAATATAAGGTCAAGGAGATAATAAAAATAAATCATCCAAAAAAAAAAAAACCTGAGGGGCTGGAGTGATAGCATAGCAGGTAGGGCATTCGCCTTGAATGCAGCCGACCCGGGTTCGATTCCCAGCATCCCATCTGGTCCCCCTAGCACTGCCAGGAGTAACCCCTGAGCATTGCTGGGTGTGACCCAAAACAAGCAAGCAAACAAAAAACTGAGGGGCCAGGATGAGGCTCAGTGGTAAGGTTCATGCATGCGGATGCAGTGCAGCTTTGGTTTGATTCCTAGCCCTGTGGAAAAGGGAAAATGGGAAGGAAGGAAGGACCAGAGAGATAGTACAGCAGATGAAGGAGTTTGTCTTGCACGTGGCTGACCCGTGTTTGATCCCCAGCACCACAATAAGTTCCTCTGAACCCCTCCAGGAGTGACCCCCGAGCATAGAGCCAGGAGTAAGCCCTGAGCATCGCTGGGTTTGCGATCTACTCTACCCTACCCAAAAAGAATTTTCCTAGATAAACATTACTTACCAAAAGTGACCTCGAATAAGGGAAGTTCAACCTCAATTTCTACCTGGGAAATAAAGAAAATCACCAGCATAGCAACGTTAGCCAAAAAGTGGTAGATTAGATGTTTGATGGGAGAATTCCCCCAAATCCACAAAGAACTGGAAGCCTTAAACCTAGACCGGGAGCCCCAAAAAGTCCTGGCACATCCAAAATAAAGGAAACTCGTGTTTTTGTGAAGGAAGCGCGCCATAGCTATCAGGACTAAACACAAGTGCACAAAAACATATTTCCTGTGTGATCTCAGCCTCACTTAAGATTTTATTTGCTTTTTGTTTGGGGCCACACCCCACAGTCCCCAGGGCTTACTCCTGACACTGTGCTCAGGGATCACTCCTGGTACCTGTTGGGGGCTGTGCAGAGTCAGGGATCAGACCCCGCTCAGCTCTGTGTGTGCAGGGCCGTGCTCTCTTGTGATTTTTACAAGCAAAATGTTAAACAATTTAGCAGCGCATTAGTAGGATAATACTATCAAGGCTTCTTCACATGTGATAAGATGATTGGGTTAGCAGATTAGCAGATCTACGAGTGTTGTCTGTTGTTTTGGTTCTTGAGGGCTGGGGTTTGGGACCACAGCTGGCCGTGCTCAGGAATTCTCCTGCAGGCTGTGGCAGTCTTGCTGTTTGAACTGGGCACGAGTATCTCACCCGCTCTGTTAGCTCTTTGACCCCATGGGGGTTTTTTTGTTTTTTTTTTTTTTTTGGACAGACCTAAGGAGAAAAATTACACAATTGAGGTCATTTCCAATTACCTAATGAAGAAAAACATTTGAAATTTTTTCAACTCAAAATCTTAATAAATGACATCCAGTAAAACAGAAAACCAATGCCTATTTTCTTTCCTTGTCTGGGAAATGGGGAGGTAGGCCACACCTGGTGGCGCTCAGGGCTTCCTCCTGGCTCTGAGCTCGTGGTCCTTCCTGCTGGGGCTTGGGGGACCTTATGGGGTGCTGGGGATCAAACCTGGGTAGACCCTGGTCAGCCGTATAAAAGGTAAGCTCCTTGTTGAATTATTAATCCAACCCCAATGGCTACTTTCTTACATTACATGTTTATATCATACTTACGTATGTGTGTACATGTATATAAATCCAAAGCAACTTGCTAGCTGTTTCACCAAAGACACAAATTAGTAATTTTCTCGTTTCAGATTCTTTCCCTTGTCTAGGCGAGTATATGTAGGACCATATAAACAGTAGTGATAAGAATATATAAAACGGGCTGGAGCGATAGCACAGCTGGTAGGGCATTTGCCTTGCACGTGGCTAACCCGTGTTCGATTCCCAGCATCCTGTATGGTCCCTCGAGCACTGCCAGGAGTAATTCCTGAGTGCACGAGCCAGGAGTAACCCCTGTGCATCACTGGGTGTGACCCAAAAAGCAAAAAAAAAAAAAAGAGGAATATTTAAACAGTGGAGTATGTACCAATGTACCATGGGAATAAATTGATGCAGAAAGGAGATTCTAGTTCTTACATATCACCCCAGTTATATAATTCCGTGTACTTATGGAAATATTAACTTATTAGTGATTCCTAAGAAAACCTGCGTCGTCTGTGGTAGTGATTAAGTGGCATCTGGAAAATGCATTTCTCTGGAAGTTAACTGGCAAGAGCAGTGCTTTCCAGGCAGGAGGGGGGCTGAGGAAGCAGAGATAGTTCAGACAAGAGTGAGCCCCAGTGGGAAGCTTGGGCGGATTGGTGATTGATAAGGACGTGTCCGAGTGGGTTCATCGGCTGTAAGTGAGTGTGCCACTTTAGGGTGTGATGAGGGGTAAGACTCAGGTTGGGGACCAGCGTTGGACGAGGAATCATGGGGACTCTGCTCTTGACCTACTCCGGAGACCTGTTCTCCTAATTAAAATGATTTATAAGTAAAAATCCTGTGAAATGTAAAAAAATCAATCATAACTACAACAAAAATGTGAAACCTGATCATCATAAGTAAACAATGGACAAGTAGAGGTGAGTAAGAGAAGACGTGATAGGGCTGTCAGTCAGGATGATCCATGCTCATATAAAAGTGTTTCTGGGGGTTTTATGATCTGATGAACGCAGATTTTACCCGTGCAGAGCTGACGTTTGTGGTGGGCAGCAGGCTTCCATCAGGACGGTTGGGGTTAGGGGTGCGGCTCTGGGGCCACTTCTCTTGACTGTTCCAGCATGCCGAGGGTTCAGTGTGAGGGAACCCAGGACGAGCTGCCTCTCCAGTCCGGCCGTGCCTGACGCCCGCAGTGCCACTCTGGCATCCTGTGCCCGGGAAGCGTCCAGGCTTCTCCTCACAGTGCCATGTGGTCCTGGGCCTTGAATCTGGGTCGGGGCAGTCACTAGGAACATGCCCCCCACCCCTGTGCTACCTCCCTGACCCCAGAGCCAGCACCTAGAACTTCTCATCCAGTGTAAAATTTAAATTATTATTGGAGCGATAGCACAGCGGGTAGGGCGTTCGCCTTACAAGCGGCCAACATGGCCGACCCGAGTTCGATTCCTCCGCCCCTCTCGGAGAGCCTGGCAAGCTACCGAGAGTATTCGATATGCCAGACACAGTAACAACAAAGTCTCCAATGGAGACGTTACTGGGCCCGCTCGAGCAAATCGACGATCAACGGGAGGGCCTTTACCTTACCTTTACCTTATTATTATTTATTATTATTATTTTGCTTTTGGGGGCACACCTGGCGATGCACGGGGTTACCCCTGGCTCTGCACTCAGGAATTACTCCTGGCAGTGCTCAGGCGATCATATGCAATGCCGGGGATCAAACCTGGGTTGGCCGCACGCAAGGCAAGTGCCCTACCTGCTGTACTATCGCGCTGGCCCTTGTGGCCCATATTTTTAAAGACTGCTCTTAGCACAGGGTGGTCCTGCTCCTGGAAGTTGACCTTCTCTTATCTCTGCACTGCTACCCATCCTTATCTAAGAGGTGTATTGTGTAGCAAGGTGGATTCTGCTGGTACTATCCAAGTATTATCTTTGCAGACCTTTCCTAGACTAATTCTTCAGATGAATTACTATAATCTCTAAGCCCCCCCCCACAAAAAAGTCCTATATTCTTATAGGTCTCAAAATAATGTAACCAGTTTTTTCTTTCTTTTCTCATATTGAACATTCCCAACAAGTAATGCCTAACAATTAAATTTCATGGCATCTGGATATTTCTAATGATATAAGTAGGTTTTTTGTAAGTTTCCGTGTTAAAAATTGGCCCTCTGTTACATACTTGATAGCCCAATTTATGTAGTGTTTCCTTTCACAGGATGAAGCTGAAGGAAGTAGATCGCACAGCCATGCAGGCGTGGAGCCCTGCGCAGAATCACCCCATTTACCTGGCTACAGGTAAGCTCCAGCGAGAGATGAGGATACCCTGCCCGACCCGTTTCATATTCAGTATAAGCTTCATCGCTCCAGAGAGCACTTTCTTCCCTGGTACCCGGGTGCCGTTGCTCTGTGTGACCCTCGTACGGTGTGCACCTGGGCATTCTGTGCTGTGTGGTGATGTAGTAGCACCCATCGTCTCTTTCTTACTGCACCGGAATCGGGCTTTGCCTTTATCCCACAGCATTATCCCGAAAAGCGAGCACAGTGTATAACTTGTGAAAAAGTAAGCGTCCATGTGAGGGTTGAGGAGATGGCTCAGAGGGTTGGAACATACACTTCGCATGTGGGAGCCTCTGGGTAAATCCCTGACATTAATCACACGATCCCCTGAGCACCCCCAGGAATGGTAAATGAATAAATTGAACATTTTGATTAATAATGAAGAACAATTTTATATCAGTAGTTGGATTTGCATCATCGGTGACTATAAGGCAATAGAGTAAAATTGAGTTTTGTTTTTTTTTTTCTTCCAGAAGGTTTTTATGGGGTTCAGCTCATGTGGCTGAGTACATACCTAGCAGATCCCTGAGTCTGATTCTGGGCATCACTCCACTGGGGGTATCCAGGTGATGCCCAGGCAGCCCCACGAATGACTGCCAGGCTGGGGGCCCCAGGCCCCTAACACTGCTGCGGGTGACACCCAGAAAAGAGAAAAAATTCTTGTCTCTGCATATGGATATATATTTTTATATATGTGTGTGTGTGTATGGCTGGAGCAGTTGTACAGTGGGTAAGGTGCTTGCCTTGCATGAAACCGGCCTGGGTTTGATCCCTGGCAACCACATACGGTACCCCGAGCATTGCCAGGAGTGATCCCTGAGCACAGCCAAGTGTGATTGGCCCCAAACGAACCAAGAGCTGACGCAGAGCTCCCCACACACTTGTCCCCGCCTCCCAGAAGCTGCCCTGGGCCCTGTGGGAATGATGGGAGGAGCCTCAACTGTGCTCACAGGTGCTGAGCTGGGAGGCCCGGTCGGAGTCTGACTGTGATGCCGGCAAGCCTGCTGCTCTGTGACAGAGCTGAGCGAAGAGAACAGGCACGGAGGAACGGGCTTTGGAATGAAAATAAAGACCACCTCCATTTTGTGAAATGGCATCACTAGCTGTTTTAGGATGCAGGGAGGTTCTCTTAAGGTTTCAAAAATGGTACTTCCAAGGGCTGGGCTGTCGTTCCATGGGAGAGCACTTGCCCTGTGTGTGTGGGGGTGGGGTTGCAGTGCCGCCAGCCAGTCCCTGCTCCCGCGGGGCGAGTGCATCAGCAGCCTGATGATTGCTTCAGGCTTCCTGAGACCCCAAAATGGCCACTGTGCCTCTGGCCAGACCCCAACAACTCTTGACCAAATTTCCCCTGAAATTAAACCACCAAAAGTTAGGTACGTGGGCGCCACACCCACAAACCACCTCAGCGATAAGAGATCATTTATCAGCCTTGCTTTAGGGATGTGTAAATAAATCTCTGAAGAGATCAAAACCTGCGATTAATCTCAGACCTGCACAAGGTTGAACAGAGGAGGGTAAATCAGAGGGGGGGTGGGGCAGCCTGGTGCCCACCCAAGCAGTGTTCCAGGCAGCCACTTGCTCCCACGATCCAAAAGCGCCACCATGTCCCCAGCCGGATTCTTCTGTCTCTGGACAGACCTCACAGAGGTACAGTCTGCTGAAAATTTGGATGTGTGGGTTCTGTGACTGAAATCTCCAGGCCTTTTCCGGATTGGGATGGTCTGCCTCCCCCCACCTCCCTGTGCTGCTTCGGAAGCCTCTGCAGTGGCGTCCACACCCCAAAGCTGTCACCCAGTTATAAAAGCTACTCTAGCCTTACCGTTCCAATAAAAATACGGAACACCCCGAATAAACATGGACTTCTTCGTACCTGTATTGCAAACCATAATGAGAGAGAAAGAAGAAAAGTGCCCGCCACTGAGGCAGACTGGGGGTGGGGTGGGGGCAGGTATTGGGGCATGGTGGGAGGGAAACGGGGCACATTGGTGATGGGAAATGTGCCCTGGTGAAGGGATGGGGGTTGGATCATTGTATGACTGAAACCCAATCATGAACAGCTTTGTAATGGTCTATCATGGATATTCATTAAATAAAAGGTTTTTTTGTTTGTTTGTTTGGAGGTCCTGCCTGGCAGTACCCACTGGCCATTCCTGGCTCTGTACCCGGCGTGCTCCCTAGCGGGGCTCAGGTGTTGTATGTGGTACAGGGGACTCGAACCGGGGTCACAGGGAAGGCAGGTGCTCCCTCTCCAGCCTCTTCAAAGTTTGAACTTGGAGCCTGGGAGCCATAATACAGCAGATGAGGCACTTACCTTGCAAGCTGCCAACTGCCTTCGATCCCAGTGGTCCCCTGAGACCCTCCAGGAGTGACCCCTGAGTGCAGGGCCAGGAGTAAGCCCTGAGCACCACCCACTATGGCCTCAAAACAGAACACTAGAACTGAACTTGTAGTTCCTTTGGGGCAGCCATCATGCTGTTACTTCTCGAGGAGTTTCTAGGGCCGTCTCACTCTCCGTTTCCTTTAAAAATGACCTTCGCTCCTGTTCTGACTAATAGTGTCTTTAAATCTGGTCTCAGAGTCTCATCCCTGTAGTAATTTAAGCCTGTGCCGAATGTGCTGAGATTTCAGCCACTGTTGTAGCATTTAACTCATGAGATAACTGAGAACATGCATGTAATTCCTTTCTTTAAATGCTTTTTTTCCCTGAGTCTTATTTTTCACATGTATAGTTACTCTATAAATACATGTTTTGTTTTGTTTTGTTTTTCAATAGGAACATCTGCTCAGCAACTGGATGCAACATTCAGTACCAATGCTTCCCTTGAGATATTTGAATTAGACCTGTCTGATCCATCCTTGGATATGAAATCTTGTGCCACTTTCTCCTCTTCTCACAGGTATGAGATTTTTGAACCTTTTTTTTTATCTATGTTTGTGATTGACGCTTAGTGTGTATGTGAATCAGTCAGTGACATGAAATATGGGTGAATTTCTTGAGAAGTAGAGTTCTGTTTACTTTCACTTTTTGTATTTGGACCATACCCCAGTGCTGAGTGGCTGCTGCTGAGGAATCCTCGTGGGCCTCCACTTTTGAGCCATCTGCCCGGCCCCTTTACTCAATTAAATAGCTCTTGGTAGGTTGGGAAGAAGTTGCTATAGTATCTGATACTCATGTGCACAGGGCATAGGGCAGGGTGATTCCTGCTACTGTGCTCCAGGTACTGTGATCCTTGCGATTCAGCCCTTTGAACCATCTCTCTGGACTCAGGAGTTGCTTTGTTCCATCTTTATCGCGCCTGTTTGCTAGAAGGAGGTAGTTCTGACTAGAAAAGGGAGACGCACTGTAGCACTGTCCTCCCGTTGTTCACCGATTTGCTCGAGCGGGCCCAGTAATGTCTCTATTGTGAGACTTGTTACTGTGTTTGGTATATCCAATACGCCAAGGGTGGCTTGCCGGGCTCTCCGAGAGGGGCGGAGGAATTGAACCCGGCTCGGCCGGGCCGGAGGCTTGCAAGGCAAATGCCCTATTGGATGAATATTTAAGTATTGATAGTGGTATCTTAATTCACCATTGAATTTATCTACTGAATGGTGTCACTCCGCTTGGTAGGTTAGTTTAATTTTGCTTCTTTGCACTTGCCTGAGTATATTTCACAGCGGTATTTGACATGTTTCTCACACAGTAGGTACTCGATTCACTTTTTCAACTGTTTACATTATATTGCAGTGTAGAGAGAGTTACTTGCATGTAGCTTATTGCCTCAGTCGTGCAGATTTTGTTGAAGAGCTTGTTCCTTAGCTAACAATAGTCTCATGTCGCCCTGTTCTTCGCAGCTCCCCGCCTGATACAGGAACCCTCAGACCTTTGTCTAGCAGTGGTTCTGCCATCACGTTTGTCTTGTTGTGTACCTCCATGCATCCCATAGCTCATCTCCATAATCTTTTCTTCTCCAGCAGCAGAAGGGCTTGTCAGAGAATTCACCTCATTTTGATGTCACTTTTCCAGGCAGGGTATAAATACAATTTTTAGAAGATTTCAAATTTCTTTAAGTTTTCAAACTTCATTACCTTTACTTTTTAACAGGACACTATTTTTTTTTTAAGTATAACAGATTGTATTTGAAAGTTTTGAGGACGTGGATTGGGGAGGTAAAGAGAGAAAGAGAGAGAATAATGCACTTGAGAGAACACGGGCTTCTCTAGAGTGGAGAGGGGGCCCCAGCCCACACCCCAGCTTTGGATAGGAGGGTCCACATCTCAGGAGGGGGGATGTGGGTGTATCATGTGCTCCCAGACCACTTGTTAGTGGATACTTCTGTAATGAAAGAGAATCAGGGAAGTGGTTTATTAGCTCTGTTTTACAGATGAACCACAAGCAGTTTGGGAAGTTTAAATAATCTGTTCAGGTTCTTACCGTTTTAAACTGGTAAAATCAACCTTATTTTTTTGACACAAATCAAGAAATACTGTGTCATAACTATATTACTTATGTAGAGTATTTTTATTCTTGAAGATGAAAAAAACCCACTCTTCACCTAGAAGTATAAATAAAAAACAAAATGCCGTTTTCACCAAGACTGAGAAGCTACCGGGAATTGACGAGAAGCACTATTTCTGGAATATTCATGAAGACAGAATATTGATGTGTTCTTTTGGTTTTTCTTTGATGTTTATTTGATTTCAAAACTGTGTTATTTTACTCATTTTTCTCTTTAAAGATACCACAAGTTGATCTGGGGGCCTCATAAGATGGATTCCAAAGGAAACGTCTCTGGAGTATTAATTGCAGGTGGTGAAAATGGAAATATTATTCTTTATGATCCATCCAAAATTATAGCTGGAGAGAAGGAAGTTGTGATTGCCCAGAATGACAAACACACTGGCCCAGTGAGAGCCTTGGATGTGAATATTTTTCAGGTTAGACTTTGCCATTTAACCATGATTCTGCTACTTGTTTGAAATGAGTGTATGAATCTGCGGTGACCCAGTCTGGGATTTGAAAGCATGACACCTGGGCCTTTGTAGGATGATGAGTGAGAAATGGGGACTTCCCAGGTGGATGCAGAGCGGGGGGATGAGGCGGAGTGGGTGCAAGCAGTTCCAGAAGCCTGCTATTTATTGAGAAGGTTTACGTATGTCAGAGATGGGAGAAGTAGCACACACCGATTTGTGTATGCCCTATGCTCAGGTATAGCAAAATGTAGTGAATAAATTATGAGTCTTAATTGTTGCCACCATAAACTTTACTGCGTACCAAGTTACAAATGGAGAGACTGATATATATAAATTTGTATTGAGTTAGCAAGGCACTGTAGTATAACAACAAAAACTATTAAGTTCTGGAGTGCTAGTATAGCAGGGTACCCAGCCGACCCAGGTTCAATTCCCGGTACCACATGTGGTCCTACAAGCCCTACCTTGAGTGATCCCTGAGCATAGAGCCAGGCAGGAGTAAGCCCTGATACTGCTGGGTGTGACCCAGGAAACCAAATAAACAAAAAAAAAATTTAGAAAATTAGAGTGTTTTTTCCCCTTGTAGACAGATAGATAATTAGAAACTAAAAATACAGAAACCCAAACTTCTTTCTATAGGTTTTTCATTTGTTTTTGGGCCACATCTACGGTGCTCAGAGCTTACTTTTGGCTCCGTATTAAAGGATCACTTCTGGCACTACTTGAGGGACTGTATGTGGTACCAGGGATCAAACCTGGGTCAGCCTCATGCCAGGCAAGCATCCTGCCTGCTGTATCTCTCGCCCAGGGAGTTGTTTTGTCAATGGGCTCAAATAGCTGTTGACTTTGAATTAAAGTGTCTTAGATGGCAGAGCCGTAGAATTCCTCCATTTTCTTCGTTTGTATAAGTTGATGAGAAAAAAATTTATGTCAGATAAGGGTCAATACATGAAAGGTAATACTTTTCCTATGCTTTGTATCACAGGTATTATCTCTTTGACCCTAAAGTATGTACAGAGAAAATAGGAATATCCTGAGCAGAGGCAAAAGTGAACATAAACACATGAGAATTTAAGACAGATTCTGCTAACCGTGTCTTGATCCAGCTCCAGAAATTGACTTAGATATTCTCAGAGATAAGCCATTATTTTAGGATCTGTTTGAACACAATTGGTGGTGACCTACTTTCTTCCACAACGAAATCGCCAGAGATGCAAAATCACAAATAATAATGCCCTTAGAGGCTGGAGTGATAGCACAGCATATAGGGTGTTTTCCTTGAACGAGGCCAACCTGATTGATTCCCAGCATCCCCTATGGTCCACCCGAGCACCACCAGGATAATTCCTAATTCCTGAGTGCAGTGCCAGGAGTAACCCCTGTGCAACGTCAGGTGTGAACCAAAAAGCAAAAAACAAACAAAAAAAGCCCTTAATATAATGGGGTTAAGGATTTACTTATGTGATTATTTTTTAAAGGTAAAGGTAAAGGCCCTCCCGTTGATCGTCGATTTGCTTGAGCGGGCCCAGTAACGTCTCCATTGGAGACTTGGTTGTTACTGTGTCTGGCATATCCAATACTCTCGGTAGCTTGCTGGGCTCTCCGAGAGGGGCGGAGGAATCGAACTCGGGTCGGCCATGTTGGCCGCTTGTAAGGCGAATGCCTTACCCGCTGTGCTATCGCTCCGGCATTTTGGAAGAGAGATGTGGTTTATTGGTAGAGCATGTGCCTCGCGTAAGTGGCACCCTGGGTTTGATCCCTAGTACCAGAAACAAACAACCGAAAACCTCTTTACAGTTCCAGATTGTTGTGCATAATATTTAGAAATTCATAGATTTTACTTTTTTAATTTAATGAAGATTTCATATATCCTAAAACTGGTAGGCCTTCCCAACACTGTACTGAATCACTCTAGATGCACTTAATTATTTCTAAGTCATTCATTGATAATTATTTCTTTTTGTAGACTAATCTGGTAGCCTCTGGTGCTAATGAATCTGAAATTTATATTTGGGATCTAAACAATTTCGCGACTCCAATGACACCAGGAGCCAAAACACAGGTAGTGTACCAATTTTGATGTGGTCAGTTCCTTGACGTTAATTTATTTCTGTGTTTACACAAAATTGATTTCTTTAACATCAGTGCCATCAATGTTTGAGTGCCAGCAGAGTTCCTGTCCGTGAGTAAAGAATCCGTGTGTTTGCTGAGTTGAGTTCCTCGGCAGCAGACGCGTGTTCCAACGTGTCTGTTGTCTGCCAGTGGAGAGCTGGGGAGGCCCTTGTAGTTTCGTTAGGTGGAGTATTTGATACAGTGCACTATTCGCCATAAGATTTTAACAGTCTTGATTCTAGACTAAAAATGATAGGCTAGAAAAGAACCATTACAAACAAAAACAACAACAAAAAACAACCCAAGACTTAGCCCCCTTTCCTGTACTTCTAAGTTGAGAAAAGACTTTTCTCAGCCCTCCCCTTCCCTGGAGTTTCTTTGTGTTGTACTCACCACTCTGCCCCAGTAGGTTGCTGGAACCACCCTGACATTTTGACTGTCTGACTGAGAAGGAACTGGTACCACCAGCATGATGTTCTTTGGTGTTACCATAAAGATGTTTTTCTGGTGGTTGCCAAGTGGATTTGCCCTCCAGCTCCCTGTTCAGACAGAAATTGCTCAGTGAATCTTGGAAGTCTGCTCTGAAGCCAACAAACTCGCGCCCGAGTTGCCTGTGAGGCAGCTCCTGTCCCCACCGCCATGTCCCTCCCTTTCCCCGGGATTCCATCACACACTTGGGGAAAGACTGGTCTCAGCTGGTACTTTTATCTTTGCCCTGTTGCCTGCCCTCGTGATGAACATTAGTGATAAATACCTATCTACCTCGTGGCTCAGTATCTGCCTGGTGGCAGTTGCAAAATAAAGCATGCTTTATTTTTTTATTACCAGGAGCTTATTAATAGATGCCTTTTGAATGAGATAGTAGTAAACAAGAGACTTACACTTGAACTTTGAGCTGATACGTATTGAGAACTTAGGAATATAAAAAAAATGTGTGGAATCTTTTTTAAGTCATGCATTTTTTTGAAAGCAGAGGATCAGCTTTTGCTGTTAAGTCTTATCACAATGGAGAGAAACCATTATTGAATAGCTTATTCCTTATAGCCTCCAGAAGATATCAGCTGCATCTCCTGGAACAGACAAGTTCAGCATATCCTAGCGTCAGCCAGCCCCAGCGGCCGGGCCACTGTGTGGGATCTGAGGAAAAATGAACCTATCATCAAAGTCAGTGACCATAGTAATCGGGTAAGTGCCTGATTGGTACATGACGAGTGGATATTTCCAGTGTGTATTTCTATACTGTTTGTCAATATTGACAGCCAGTTAGATTTCCATAGTCAAATTCTATCTTTTCAACAGCCAGTCATGCTAGAGTTAAAAAGTCTTTATTGGGGCTGGAGAGATAGCACAGTGGGTAGGCTGTTTGTCTTGCCCACGGTTGACCTGGCTTTGATTCTCAGCATCCCATAGGGTTCCCCGAGCACCACTAGGAGTGATTTCTGAGTGCTAAGCCAGCTGTAACCCCTGAGCATTGCTGGGTGTGACCCAAAAAAGAAAAAAATTCTTTATTCCAATAATGTTGGACCCCCGAGGCAGTGCTCAGGAGTTCCAGGGGCCACTCCCAGCAGACTCAGGGAACCACAGGGTGCAAGGGATCAGACTCCTTTTTTCTTCTTCTTTGGGGTGAGGGGGTGCCTAGCTGTGCTCTGGTCTTTCTCCCTGGTTCTGTGCCCTGGGATCACTCCTGGCGGAGCCTGGGGGCTGCGCCGTGCTGGGGATTAAACCTGCACTGACCTTCTGTAAGGGAAGCACCTTGCCAAACACTGGATGAGTTCGCCAGCCCACCTGCTGGAAATATTTTGCTTGTAAACATGTAGTTTCTAAATGTCTGGCTTCGTCTCTTCCATTAGGTGGTTAATCTTTCTGCCTCCTGTCTGGTAGATACCGTTGCGTAACACTAAAATTTCAGTCTTAACAAATTATTATGTCATCATGTGCTCCAAAGTAAGTTAGACACAATTTAGTACCTTGTTTTGTCAGTATGTTTTTAATTACATTAGTTTACATTAGTTTACATTTTCTTTTGGTTTTCTTTGTTTTGGGGCCATTCCTGGCAGTTCCCCGTTTCTCCTGCTTCTGCTTGGGGTACCATAAGGGATGCCAGAGATTGAACTCAGGTCAGCTGAGTGCAAGGCAGATGCCCTACCCACTGTACTGTCATTTCGGTCTCCTAGTTTACATTTTCAAAAATTAATTTGCCTAAATTAGAGGCATATATATATATGTGTGTGTATATATATGTATATATATATCTATATATATATACACACACCTCTATATTTCTTAGAAGAAAATTTATTTTGGGTCCTGTTCTTCAAAGAATCAGGAATTTAAAAACAAGTTTTAATGAGATAAAGCTTCTAATAAGCATAACCACCATCTTGGGAACATGCCGTAGGATCAGCTAATTCTGTTTTTAAGTCTTTAATAAAATTTAGTAATTTGTTGCGTTTTTTCTTCAAAGTAAACTAGCCCCAGTCTGATTATTTTCTGCCGTTTAAAGACAGCCATGTTCCTCAGTTCAGTTTTGCTTTTTCCGGAGTGATATGACTGCTAACCCTGAGCTCACCTCACCACAGATGCATTGCTCTGGGCTGGCCTGGCACCCGGAGGTTGCGACTCAGATGGTCCTTGCCTCGGAGGATGACAGGCTGCCGGTGGTTCAGATGTGGGATCTTCGCTTCGCATCTTCTCCACTCCGTGTCTTGGAAAACCACGCCAGGTACCGTGTTTATGCGTAGAAACATCTACTCACTACTTTCAGTTAGCACAGGCTGGCTTTTTTTTTTTTTTTAACTAAAGGCAGCAAATCTACTTTGTAAAGGTAGTGTTAAAGAATAACACCTGTGGGGCTAGTGCCATAGTGCAGCGAGCGGGTAAGGCATTTGCCTTGCCCGTGGCCGACCAGGTTCAGTTCCCAGCATCCCATATGGTCCCCTGAGCACCACCAGGAGTAATTCCTAAGTGCAGAGCCAGGAGTAACCCCTGAGCATCGCCAGGTGTGACCCAAAAAGCAAAAAAAAAAAAACCTGCTTTTGTGAAAGTAGGTTTGTCATGAGACTTTTTTTTTTAAATGGTTCAAAAGTTTGTTTCTGTCCTATATACTTCATCAACTTGTTTTCTCTGTTAGTGGTTTGATGGTGGTTGTGTGGTTTTGTTTGATTTTAATTTGTTTTATCTTTTGCTGCCATTGAAACCCTTACACATGCAAGGCATATGCTACACCACTAGATATATTCTGGCCGTCGTGATGTATTTGGGAGGAGGGGGATTCCCGACAGTGCTCCCGAGTGACCCCTGCAGTGCTCAGTGGGCTGTATATGTCCTGGGGATTTGAACCAGGATCTTGACTGCCACAGATGCATGTAAGGAAAGGGCCTTTCTGCCTGCAGTATCTCTCCAGCCTATCATGGTTTGATTAATTATACTTTTAATTTTGGGCCATAGCTCACTGGTTCCCTCCTGTCTCTGTGCTCAGGGTCACGTGTGGTTCTGAGCGTCAGACCCCGGCCGGCTGGCTGTACTCTCTCTCCCACCGCAGAATGGTTTATTTTTGTTTTGTAATCGTTCTCTGATTTTTTTTTTATACCAAAAAAAGAGTAGTGACCAGATTATATGAGAACAGTATTGAAATGGTAAATTAAAAGGGTTTCAGCTCTCCTATCTCTCTGGCTCTCTGGCTCTCCGTGCCCTGGTTTATTTAAGAGGCATTCTTTTTTTTTTTTTCCTCTTTTTTGGGTCACACCCGGCAGTGCATAGGGGTTACTCCTGGCTCATGCACTCAGGAATTACCCCTGGCGGTGCCTGGGGGACCATATGGGATGCTGGGAATCGAACCCAGGTCGGCTGCGTGCAAGGCAAACGCCCTACCCGCTGTGCTATCACTCCAACCCCTAAGAGTCATTCTTTTGAGGGGGTTGGTGTTGGGCCACACCCGCAGTGCTGGGGGCTGCTCCAGGCTCTGTGCTCGGGTGTCAGCTGGTGGTACTCAGGGAACCACGTGGTGCCAGAGATCAGACTGGGGGCAGCAAGGCAGCCCCTTCCTGCCCAGATTCTCGTCTCTGGCACAGAAGTCTGGCTGCTTTTGGCCTCACTGAGTGGCGGTCTGGGCTTCCTCCTGGCTCTGCACAGGGATCATTTTCAGTGGTGCTCAGGGGCTTTGTATGTGGTGATGAATCTGGGCCCGGCGCAAGGATTGGACCCAAGTGATAGTACAGCAGGTAGGGTGCTTGCCTTTGATCAAAAATTCTTGTAAACAAAAATTCCTTGGGGCCAGTGGATGTGGTTCAGTGGTAATGCAGATACTTTGCATATGGTCTCTAACACCAACCAATAAACAGATACTTAGGGGAACTTCGCAGATTTGAAAAAAAAAATGAAATCTATAAAATAAAAGCAAAAAGTAGAAATTATAAAATAACGAGCTATTTTCTAGCTATTCATAAAGTCTATGTTTTGTGCATCTTAATTTATTATTTGATCTAAAAGTCCAGTTACATATTTTTGTTTTATGCACATGTATGCAGTTAGTCTTTTTTTTTTTTTTTTTTTTTTTAGCTGTGAATGTTACAGTATCACACGTTAATTGTTTTTGGGTTAGGGACCTCAGTTGAGCGTGGTCAAGGCTATTCCTTCCTGGCTTTGTGCTTCCGCGTCACTCCTAGAGATGCTTGTAGGGCCCGTGGTGCCGAGGATTGAATCCAGGCCTATCATAACACGAGAAGCATGCCCTCCAGACTGTGGATTTACCACTCTGGCTTTATCACCTAATTTTTAAATTTAATTTTATTTTTATTAAAAACACTGTGTTTTGCAAAGTTGTTCATTACACAGTTGTTTCAGGCATTTAGAATTTCAACACCACCGGTGTGACCTTCTCTCCACTAATATTCCCAGTTTCCCTCCCAACCCCAACCTTCCCTCTTAGGCACATAAAAATTTTACTTTGTATTACTTGTTCCAATAGAACTTTAAGAAACAACAAATAAAGCCATCAGAAAATAAATCAGTAAGAGCCAACTTGTGATTGCTATGTGATTTTAACCTATTAAATAAGGAAAATAAAACCCTTTAATACAACATAATAAAGTGCTTATTCTCATTTACACAAGTAAGTTTTCAACTCTGGAATCTAAAACATATTGCATTAAAGTTTGTTTTATATTTGGATGTAATTATGATTCTTATGCCTTACCTGTCTTTAATAAAACGTTAAAAGAAATACTGTGCTCATATATTTTGGAATTTATATGAAATAGCTAAGACTTTCTTATATAAATTTTATTCTTTACACTTTATATAAACATTGTGGTTTACAAAGTTGATCATGATGATTTGTTACAAGCACTCAGTATTCCAACACCAATCCCACCTCCGTTATCATCTTCCCTCCACCATTGTCTCCAGTTGTCCCAACCATCTCTCAATCCTGCCATCATAGCAGTCCCACAGTTATTTATTTTATATTGCTTGTTATCAATAAATTGCTAACAGAATGATAAAATAAAATTTCCTTAGGAGAAAATTAGTGCATCTCACCATGACGACAGTGAGTCCTTGCATGAGGGATTACTAAGATGTTGTTATAGGTTAAGCCTTCTGTGTAATTGTTAGGTTAGTCGAGATTGGATGGCTTCTGTGTCACGTCCCATCCAATCTGGTGTGCTGCCACTGGAGTATTAGTGTTGTAGAGTTTGGAGATGTCACTTGGCAGCCTTTGTGGCTGTGCAGTCCAGCAAGTCCGGTGTTTTTACCTGGGTGGTATACAGCTGGAATTAAGTTTTTAACTGGGTGGAGTCTTTGGGGTGTGGTCATGACTGCCAGGGCTTCTGGAAGCACAGGGAGGTGGGGTCTGGTAGTCCACTCTGACTCCAAGAAAAGCTGGAGATTTCAGTCACGAAGACCCTCATACCTGAATTTTTCAGCTGATTAGTTTCTGGGTGGGGTTCCATCCCTAGACGTAGGGTCTGTCTGGACACATGGCAGTGATTTTGCAGTGTACCAAGTAATTTTTAGCTACACGTTTTCTCATCTGTAGCTTATTATATGCCCAAATTGTTGGGCATTTCATTGTTGCTGCCATGTACTGTATGCTACGTTGAATGTCCCTGATGGTTTCAGAGTATATATGTTACTAAATCACTTCCTCAGAGGGCTCTATTAAAGTTTACCTCCTAGCAGTGGTTGAAGCGGTGGTCTCCAAAGCCTAGGAAATTGACGAGTTGATTTTCTTAGGTTTAAACATTTGTTCACCTGTTTGTTTTTTATAGGGGGATTTTGGCAATTGCCTGGAGCATGGCAGATCCTGAATTGTTGTTGAGCTGTGGAAAGGATGCTAAAATTCTCTGCTCTAACCCAAACACAGGAGAGGTAATGGGAATAAATGTTTTTTAGGCATTATCATATATAATCCCTATTGAATAAGAAATTTTCCTTATAACTCTTTAATACATTATTACAATAGATGGAGATATAGGAGAAGTGTTAATGTAGCAAAGATTTGATCAGGAGTACTGTTGAAGCTTAGCTGTTTCAAGCTTGGTAACCGCTCTCTGAAATGGTTTATCTGAAATTGTAAATCATCGTTCACTTCCTATTTAAGGTGTGTTTACCTGCACTCAGAAGTACTTGGTTTATTTCACATGTGGCTACTGGAAACCAGTGTCTTCAAAGTAGGAGCATTTGAGATTTTTGCTTTTTCCTGCTCTGCTGTTCCCGACGAGATTCTGACGTCTGGCAGCGTTTCTGCTGTATGCCTTTGAGTGACTAAAGGAAGTACTCAAGCCAGATGATCAGCCTCTGTTGTGCCAGCCTTACATATTGTATTAGACACACATATTTCTGTGCACTCACCCTGTATTTGATTTGGTTTCGGTTTGTGAGTCTCCCGACGCAGTGCTTGTGGTTTGCACCTGGTGGCGCTCAGAGGCCCCATGCGAGGGGTCAGACCTGGGCGTCAGCATGCACAACTTCTGCTCAGAGCCTTTGAACTATCTCCCCCGCCCCTTTTGGTTTTGATAGTGGGGAGACTTTCATCTTCCCTTTTCCTTTATTTAGCTTGTTGATTTATCCTTGGTTTTGGAGCCGGAGTGTAAGTTAGAGGTTGAATGCATACCTTGCATGTGGACGACCCCGGGTTTGGTCCCCAGCGTTATGGAAAATGATGACCCCAAAAGACATTTATTTTAAATATGTGATATGAAACTTAAGCTGAGCTAACCTGGCTGGCTTAAAGTCTCAAAGCCTGTACTGCTTTGTGCATACTCTCGTGCTTTGTTAGTAACAGGGTAGCATCAGTTATTATGGTATAAAAGTTAAATACCCACTATATTTGCAGATTTTTCTGTATTTTCCTTTTAAAGACAATGTCATGCTAAATTTTGTTCTTATTCTGCAGTAGTATGAAGGACTTGTACATGTTTTCTCACTACTAAAAGCCAGATTTCTCAGGCAACACTTTGTCTTCAAGATTTGTGTATTTGGGGATTTTTTTTGTTTTGGTCTTGGGGCCACCCCTGGTTGTGTTCAGAGTTGACTTCCTGCTGGGTCCCCAGGATCACTCAGTGTGGGGTCATGGGGGGACCATGAGGTGCTGAGGGTCGAACCCCCACACCACACATGAGAGCACGTGCTCCAGCCTTTTGAACCATTTCTCTACTCTTTAAATGGTTTAGTTATGGTTGTTTGGAGGTGAACAGGCAAAAGCAGTTGGACAGGACAGAATTGTCTTTTAGAATTTAACGGTAGACTCTAACATTCTGGTCTTTCAGTGACAACAGAAAACTTTAGTGTTTGAGTTGTACTTATTTCACACCTGGAAATTTTAAGTAACGTTTCTTTTCTTTTATCATGATAGAGCATTAAAATGGATTTATTTTGAACTTCAAAGAAACATAGGATAACTTTTCCTCAGCTGAAGCTATCAGTATGAGTCTGTTACTTCTGTGGGTTCTTGGTTCTAATGTGGCGGTACCATTTTCTAATGATTATTCTCTTGCCTGCCAGGTGTTGTATGAACTTCCCACCAACACGCAGTGGTGCTTTGATATACAGTGGTGTCCCAGGAACCCTGCTGTCCTGTCAGCCGCTTCCTTCGATGGACGGATCAGTGTTTATTCTATCATGGGAGGGAGCGCTGATGGTTTAAGACAGAAACAAGTGGATAAGGTAATGGGAAGGGGGAAGGCTGAGGGTTATGTTTCCTGACAAAGAAAATGACCATGTTGTATAGAGACTTTGAAAACGACTTCTCTGGTTGACAGGTCTGACTCATTGGATAGTAGTGCACTGTAAAAAGTTACTCGAATATGACTTGAAAATATGTGCTGACAGTCTTTCTACAAGTGACAACTTTGAACTCCGTTATTTTTTTCAGCTTTCGTCATCTTTTGGGAACCTTGATCCCTTTGGCACAGGACAGCCACTTCCTCCATTACAAATTCCACAGCAGCCGGCGGCTCACAGCGTCGTTCTGCCTCTGAAAAAACCGCCCAAGTGGATCCGAAGGCCTGTGGGGGCTTCCTTCTCGGTAGGTGCATGTGTTGGGGGGCTGAGACGTGGGGTGGGCTCAGCACGGTGACCCGGCTTGGTCCCAGCAGTGGGAGGGAACAGGAGAAGCATCGGGGTGTATCCCTGTGGGTGGGCGGCGTGAGGGACAGTGGTCAGAGTGCATCTCGGGGACCGAGCGGTGACGGCTCTCGGCTGGCGTCTGTCCGGCTGCCTCGTCCCTCCCGGTCCCCAGGAAGCCCATCTCGGGCCTCGCCGTTTCGCTCACCTCCGGCCTGTCCCCTTCGGTCCTAGTTCGGCGGCAAGCTGGTCACCTTCGAGAATGTGAAGCCACAGGCCCAGCAGGGCCCCGAGCAGCCGGCGGCGCCGCAGCTGGTGTTCGTGAGCCAGGTGGTGACGGAGAGGGAGTTCCTGAGCCGCGCCGAGCAGCTGCAGCAGGCCGTGCAGTCGCAGGCCTTCGGGGCTTACTGCCAGCGCAAGGTCGACGCCTCCCCCTCCGAGTTCGAGAAGAACGTGTGGTCCTTCCTGAAGGTACGGCGGGCTCCCTTCCCCTGCCCCGCGCGGCCCTGTTCCTCCTTAAGACGGTCGGAAAAGTGGGAGCCTCCGCACGCCTGAGGAAACTGGAGACGTGTTATGGTTGTTATTGTTGTTGTTGTTGTCGTCGTTGTTGTTGTTGTTTTTTGTTTTTGGTTTTTTTGTTTTTTTGCTTTTCGGGTCACACCTGGTGATGCCGAGGGGTTACTCCTGGCTCTGCACTCAGGAATCACTCCTGGCGGTGCTCAGGGGACCATATGGGATGCTGGGAATCGAACCCGGGTCAGCCGTGTACAAGGCAAATGCCCTCCCCGCTGTGCTATCGCTCCAGCCTGTTTTTATTTTCATGACTCATCGTGAGATACAGTGACAGGCTTACAAATTTTCATGGTTACATAATGTTCGAGTACCTATCCCTCCACCAGTGTCCACTCTGCACCACCAGTGCTCCCAGTATCCCTCCCCCCACCCCGCCCCATTCCCCCCTGCCTCTGTGGCAGACACATTCCTCTTACTCTTTCTCTCTCCTTTTGGATGTTATGGTTTGGATGTTACGGTCTGCAGTATAGGCACCAAGCAGCCATCGTGTTTGGTCCACAGTCTACTGTCAGCACACATCTCCCATCCCGAGCGAGCCCTCCAACCATCAGTTACTTACTCAGTGGTAGAGACACGATGTTCCATTCATTCCGTTCCGTGGTAACTGACCATGTCACCTGGAGAGTTCTTCCTTCCTTCCTCTGAGAAACCGAATGAGAAGTTCTCTTCTGGTGATGAGTACGTTGTAGAATGGAGGTGTTTAGGTGAGGAACATGCAGCAGACCGCCTTTAAACTCGGATGCAGCTGGGAGCGCTCGGTGGCCGTGTGCCAGGCTGCGTGACGGGCCCGGCTCCCACACCGTGAGCCAGCGCATCAGAGCGAGAGCCCTTGTCCGAGCCGAGGGCTTTCCGTGTCTGAGGCGGGTTCACTTAGGGAATGTGGGGACAGGGAAAAGAGACTTGGGAAGAAGGCAGGCCTTACCGGGCTGCTCCCGAGACAGGAGAATCATAAATCCAGTTTCCTTGCCCGCACTGAGTGTCAGTTTCCTGAAGCCAAGTTTCCCACGGCAAAGAGCTCTTGGTCATAACGTGGTGAATTTTTCAAATTGAGGAGATTATTTTTATATTTGATAATTAACTTAGTACTGGGAAAGAGGGCAGTGAATGTTACACAGAGTGTGAATTTTGCATGCATATAACTTTTGGATGTGGAGTTTTTGAATTTGTCAAAATGATGGTTTGAAAGTATCTTGTGGAACACGTCCTACTCAGGAATCCCAGCTTGAATTGTGCAATCTCTTTCTTTACTCTATGGAGTTCCTTCATTTTCTCTCTCAAAATCCCTCTGTATTTTATTTCAAAGATAAAGAGTAGAAAATGAGATAAAAGTATCCGTTGGGTCTGTGATATATAGCTCAATGGCAAATTGTACTGAGACCCTGAGTTTCTCCCTCTATGTCTCTCTATGTCTCTCTGTCTGTCTCTTTAACTCTCCTTTCTCTTTCACTCTCATAAGCTTAATTCAGCTAAAATAATTACTATAAAGTTTTTTTTAATTGTTCTTTGGATTCTTATAATGAACCTTCTACCTGGTCAAGTGAACTTGATATTTTCAACAATTCTATTTTGGTTTTGAGTAAATAATTAAAATACAGATCTTATTTCAAGAATGTATATTTTGTTTTAAGGTAAATTTTGAGGATGATTCTCGTGGAAAATACCTTGAACTTCTAGGCTACAGGAAAGAAGACCTAGGAAAGAAGGTAAACTTTTTTTTAATTAAAGGAGGAAATTAGGGGACAGTGATTATATAAGTATGGTATTTATATACAGCGGGTGTATTTTTGTTGTGTGGTTTTATAAAATTCTACACATTATCTCAAACCATTTAATAAACTTTTGTACCAATGTATTTGGTCACCATAGTTTTGAATACATTTTTGGTAAATATGAAGTTCATTTTTTATCTGAATCTAGATGTTATGAGAACTAACTGAGATACAGGGCTATGAGCCTCAAACACTAGAGAAACGTCAGTTATATTTCATTTTGTGTTCACCCCAAGTTACATGGGGGAAATTAGGGTACTGCCTTACTGTATCATAATTTTTCATTCTCTTTATGCTTTTCACCCATAATTCCAGTTGATTCGGGTCAGCTATTAAACTCTCTTGCGAGTATTTTGAAGCCCGGCTGTTTGTACTGAGTCTGGAAAAAGCAGAAAGTCCCAATGATTTGCTTAATGTTTAAAAGCCTAAAAAAAATGATTCCCAGGGGCCAGAGACATAGCACAGTGAGCAGGGCACTTGCCTTGCACAGGGTTGACCCGGGTTCGATCCCCAGCATCCCGTATGGTCCCCTGAGCACTGCCAGGAATGATTCCTGAGTGCAGAGCCAGGAGTAGCCCCTGAGCATTGCCAGGTGTGGCCCCAGACTCCCCCTTCCCCGCAAAAGAAAAGATTCCCAGAGCCAGGGAAGTTAGCTCAGTGATCAGGACGCATACACATGTGAGTACTCCAGGACCAAGTTTGAACCCCATACTACGTGGGCGCCCAAGCACTGCTAGCAACAGCCCTGGAGGTGCTGGGATGCTCGGTGTCCAGACTCTGGCTTGGAGCCGTGTGGCTGGAGTGTCCCCCAGAGCATCACTGAACATGAACTAAATCCAGTTGCATGGCTGACTTGGGGCAGAGGGCTTAGTGCCCCCCCGCAGCACTGATGCCGTGAGCAGGGTGAATGCTCGAATGTAGGAAACCTTGAGGGAGGTGCCTTCTTCTGTCACTGTGATTTGGATCAGCCCATATCACGGGGTGAAAGTGTCGGGGTTCCAAGTCGCATGTGCACGTGGACGGCACCATCTATGCCCGCCGGGTGGCCAGTGGCGCTGTACAGACCCGGACTCACCACACAGCCCCCATCTCCTGGCCGTGTGGCTCTGGTTCACATGTGGGGCTTTTTAACTTGTGTCTTTCTTACCAGTCTAATAATAACTTCTTTTCTAAAAAAGTTATTTTGATGTAGGAGTACTGCTTTTATTCAACCCGATTAAGCTGATTGAATTGGGCATGAACTCCATGTTACTTTTTAAAAATTTTTTTTTAATTGAATATCCATAAGATAGACCATTACCAATGTTCGTCATTGGGTTTCAGTCATACAATGATCCAGCACCCATCCCTCCACCATTGTACATTTCCCACCACCAATGTCCCATTTCCCTATCACCACCCCTCAAACACCCCACCCCTCACCCCCAGCCTCTCTCTATGGGAGGCACTTTCCTTCTTGTTCTCTCTCTCCTTTTTTTTTTTTGGTGCAATTATAATAACTTCTTAATGCCAAAAGTTTTCTAAGTTTGTAAGAGCTTAATGTTTTACTGAATATCTCATGGGAAAAGTAATAGGAGTTACACCTGTCAAAATCCTTCCAACAGCAGTTCATTCTGTAGTGAGCACCTAAGAATTGGGGGCATTTTTTGTTGTTGTTGTCATTGTTGTTTTGCTTTTGGGCACCTGGCCGTGCTTAGACTCTGCACTCAGGAATTACTCCTGGTGGGGCTTGGGGGACCATACGGGATGCCGGGGATCAAACTCGGGTCAGCCACATGCAAGACAAACATCCTACCCACTGTGCTATGACTCCAATCCCTGAGAATTATTGTTTAAAAATTTAGTGTAGTTGTCCTCTTTAAAACACAGCAGAAGAAAACTTACTTATTTGAGGTGTGGCAGAGTGAGTACGTGTGAGTACTGCAACTCCCTGTAATTGAAACTAGAGCCATTGAGACACCAGTTCTAGAGTTGGAAAATTAATATAGTAGGTAGGGTACTTGCCTTGCATAATAGCCAGGAGCAAGCCCGGAATATCACCAGGTATGTGCTCCCCCTGGCAAAATAAAGAGAGAGAAACCAGTTCTGTACAGTTTATTGTTTTCTAAGTCATACCTGATTTGAACTTCTGTTGGAGTTTTGCATTGAGAATGGTTTATTATATGTTATGAAGCAGAATCCCATTTTCAGTAGGTGGGTTGTTATTTTTATTTCAGTTCGCTTCGGCTTTGAACAAAGCAGATGGATCTGGTGCGGTAAGGCGACTTTTTTCAATACTTCCCTTCTAAGGTTTTGGTTTCGGTCTTATCAGAGAAAGAAATGTAATTTCAGAAACTTGCCAGTTTTATTGCTTTTCTAAAGCGTGCCCAGTATTTTAAAAAATACTGCTTTTAGATATTTAATCACTGAATAATTCTCATTTAAAGTAGATTAACTGGCAGAGGGGGTTTTTTTGCAAAAGATAAACAAACCCCAGGCAGCAAGGGCTCCGCTGCCCTGAGGTAGAGGTCTGTTGCTGAGGAGCGTTTCGGAGAGGAAGGCAGGGGCGCAGCTCCCAGACGGCTCTTGGCTTCTCCTCCTCTGGTGTTTCTCCGGCACGTGTCCTCAGTGTTGCTTCTGACCATGCCGCTAGCTCTGGGCGTTAGTTGGGTCTGTCGTCCTCCTGGTCACTAATAACCTTCTAACAGCCGTGTTCTTCCACTTCCTCCGTGACTGCCCGTTACAAAGGCCCTTCCAGCCTCTGACCCCGTGGCCCAGAGTGGCGGGGAGGAGAGCCCCGCTGCCGGCGAGCAGCCCTTGGCAGAGGTATTGATCTTTTCCTTCTCGGGTCTGCGGGGGGAAACGGACTGCATGCCTCATGGTGCTATGGGAATAACTGTAATTCGGTAAAAATAAAGATAAAGTTGGCGTCCAGGCCAGGGCCCCTAGACTGAGAGTGCTCTCCTCTCCTCTCATCCCCTGGGCCAGCCTGGGCCACTGGAGAGCAGTGAGCGGTGAGAGCTTTGTTGGCTTGGGGTCAGATGGGTATCAGAGTGTCAGATGAGATTGTGGCCAGAAATGCACATTGTCTTTTTTTTTTTTTAATTAGTGTAACACCATGAGATACAATTGTAGATTTAACTTTTTTTTTTCTTTTTGGGTCACACCCAGCAATACTCAGGGGTTATTCCTGACTCTGCACTCAGGAATTAACTCCTTGGTGGTGCTTGGGGGACTATATGGGATTCCGGGGATCGAACCCAGGTCGGCCACGTGCAAGGCAAACGCCCTACCCGCTGTGCTATCGCTCTGGCCCCAACTTACAAATTTTTATTTATTTATTTATTTATTTATTTATTTATTTTTGCTTTTTGGGTCACACCTGGCGATACACAGGAGTTACTCCTGGTTCGTGCACTCAGGAATTACTCCTGGCAGTTCTTGGAGGACTATATGGGATGCCGGGGATCGAACCCGGGTCGGCTGCATGCAAGGCAAACTCCCTACCCGCTGTGCTATCGCTCTGGCCCCGACTTAACAAATTTTTGTGCTTGGATACAGTTATACAATGATCGAGTACCCATCCCTCCACCAGTGCCCATTTTCCACCACCAATGATCTTAGTATCCCTCCCACCCCCCACCCACCATCCCACCCTGCCTCTGTGGCAGGGATTTGTTCTCTCTCCTTTTGGGTGCTGCAGAAATGCACATTGTCTTGCAGATAAAGTTCTTTTTTTTTTTTTCTTAGAACATTAGCATTTAGAGAGCACTCCAAGTGAGTGAGTCTTGAGTCCCACTAAAGAATATTTCACTAAATAAATCAACTGTCATGATTCCACATAAATGTATCCTGCGATGTCGCCAACAGTTTGTCACTAAGGAGTTCTTGAACACAGCCGTTCAATCATGAAATTTTTTCCTCTTAATTCTGTGTTTTTCAGATCACTAATAAATGATTCCATAATTTACTTACCTTTCTAATTGTAATTTATGAAAAATTAATGAAAAATGAAAAATTAATCACACTCATATCTCTTCTTTGATTATTTTCTTTGTTCTGTGTGGAATGGGTAGATCCTGACTATAGAATGGTTCTTAAAATCTTTTACTAAGTTGACAATTTAATAAATTTTTCAGTCTGTCTCGACTTACACACGGTCCTCCCATTGTTTATCAATTTGCTCAAGCGGGCCCAGTAATGTCTCCATCATGAGACTTGCTGGTACTGTGTTTGGCATATTGAATACGTCACGGGGAGCTTGCCAGGCTTTGCCGTGCGGGTGAGAGACTTGACTTACATAGTGAACATGAAAATAATTTCTAGGTTGGGAATGTAGTTTATTAGTAGAGCATGTGCCTCAGGTGTATGAAGTTCTTGGTTTGGTTTCAGAACTGCAAAATAAATATGTATTTAACTGAAGAAGAAAAGATACAGATAAAATCTTATTAAAAATCAGAATGAAACTTGGCGATACTTAACATTGTAGGGCACATTAAAGAAATAAATTTTTGTTTATGTTACGACTAAGTATAATTATGTATTTACCTAAGAGAGGACCATCTAGAAATAAGCCCATTAATGAATAGGTAAAAATAATACATATTAAGCAAAATAGTCATCATTGTGTACTTTTTGAGTATTTTAAAAGTTTTATTTAAGGAAGTATATCTTTCCCTTTATTTGATAGTGTTATTCCAAGAATAGTACCTGACACATTGAAATACTTAGCATGTAATCGTTATGTTTTGTTGACCTATGTGTATTTTTAATATCCATAAAATTTTGTTAATTCTCTTTAGAAAGCAAATTTGAAAATTGTGAATTAAAGGAAAATTTTTAAGCATAAATTTGTTAGTGAATGTAATCACACCAGTGTCTTATTTATGGCTAAGTTCAGTATAGAATTATTGTATTAGATGCATGTGTAATCAGTTCAAGAGAACATATATTATTAGAGAAAAGTAGCTGCCAATGTAATTTTGTTTCAAGAGTAAGTAGAGGTTTTTTTTTTTGGTGGGGGGGTCACACCCAGTGATGCACAGGGGTTACTCCTGGTTCATGCACTCAGGAATTACTCCTGGCCGTGCTCGGGGGACCATATGGGATGCTGGGAATTGAACCCGGATCGGGTCGCATGCAAGGCAAACACCCTGCCTGCTGTGCTATCACTCCAGCCCCTAAATAGAGTCTTTTTAAGCATAAGTTGATTTTGAATTTGTGTTTTTGGTTTTTTGGGTCTTTTTTTTACTTTGGCTTTTTGGGTCACATCCAGCGATGTTCAGGTGTTACTCCTGGCTCTGCACTTAGGAATTACTCCTGGTGGTGCTCAGGGGACCATATGGGATGCTGAGGACTGAACCTGGGTTGGACTCATGCAAGGCAAATGTCCTACCCACTGTACTGTCCCTCTGGTCCTGGTTCCAAGTTTTTAAATTCTTTAAGACATCATATTAGTTGGGGAAAGAACTAAGGTTATAGTCGTTTCTCCTTTAATAATATCAATCTGTAATATAATTATACTCTGCATTAAAATTACTCTTAGAGAAATACTCTTGATCTTGAATATTAGATACATTAAAGTGCATAGGTCACAGAAACATCAATATTTTCTTGGATATATTTTGCTTTTTGTCTTCTTTTACATTTTTATGCTTAGAAAAGGCGTTTGAAATTCTACTTCAAAGGGTGTTGGGCCATTTTACATTTCTTTCCTTCCTTAGAGAGAAAATCGTGAATTTATTTTTACTCAGTCTTGCAAGTAAGTTGTAGCAAAACTGTATATATTTTTAACCCTGCTGTTCAACATACGACTGAGAGAACACAAATTGTCATTGAATTTAGAATACATATAAGATCCTATTTATATTAAATTTTTTATATAAGGACACCAAGTGATTTTTTCTTTTTTTTTTAATGACTGGTATACTTGAAATAGGAAGATCCTCAGGCCAGCCAGGGGTGTGGCTTGTACTAGTTTTCATCTCACATATCTGAGCCCCCGATTCAATCCCTGTCACTCCAACACAAAACAAAAAGTCTACTTTCTTCGATCAAAAGTTTTCTATTTAATTTCCTGTAAACGAATACTGCTTTTGTTCATCCATATGGACTGAAACAAATACTTCTAAAACAGCAACAAAATAATCCAAAAATTCACTGTCATCTAAACCTAGCAGATGGAAATTTCTAGATGTAATAGGAGCAGAGCTGTATGATCTCAGTGTACTATAAAATGTCATTGCAATGTGAATGATAGCCTGACTATTGTTAATGAGTTCTGTTATGTATTTGCAAGTTGAGAGAGAGTAGATCTACAGGTTTCATTACCAGAAAGAACTCTGTAATTGTGGAAAGGAACGTCAGGCAGACTAAGGGGGGATCATTTTGTTATAGTCATTCTATTGTGACACTGAAATAAGTGTTCCCAATGTCAGTGCTCTTGGAAACAAACTGGATAAGATGACACGTATATGTTACACATTTCAAGCTGCTCTTAGCTGAGCAAGGTACCTAAGAAAGCAAAGATTTTTGAGCTTCAGTAACTCTGAGCTACCAGCAGTGGCTATCTGTACACTTAACATTGGTCAACATTATTCCTTACCACCTTGGATTTTGCTTATGGTCGTATAATAAGGGTTAATACTCGGGGGAGTGCTGGGTTGGATCTTGCTGTAAACTTGGCTCTGAGAACTTTATCCTCGACTAACTTAGCATGTCAGTCTTGTCAGTTGATAAATGATAAATGATCCCATGTATGAATTTTGTTTTGCTAGTATATTCCATAGTTCTGGCTAAATTACTGCCCTTTTCATCACTATAGCACATGAAAGAGGAAAAAGAAGAAGGTGAATTTTTACCATCAACTGGAGGAACATTTAACATTTCTGTCAGTGGGGGTAGGTACCTATTACTTTGAGCTACATCCTTTTTTTTTTGTTTTCTTGCCTAGGGAGCAGGGTTGAGCCCTGTCGCTATATGCTCAGGGCTTACTTCCGACTCTGTGCTCGGGGATCTTTCCTGTGAACTGTAAGGGATCAAACCAGGGTTCACTGCAATGCAAGGCATAGGCCTCATCCCCTGTACTACTTCTGTGGTGCTTCTGATTTTTTTATTTGTTGGGGGCCACACCCAGCAAGTCTGAGGTAGCTCCTGCTTTGTACTGAGGGGTCGCTCCCGAGTAGGCTCAGGGGGACCCCACAGGACGCCAGGAGTTGGTCCTGGGGAGCCGTGTGCAAGGCAGGCGCCCTCCCCAGTTACTCTCTCGCCCCTTCATTTTGATTTTTAAAAACTATTTGGAATTAAATAAGTCCCTAAATTTAAGTTATAAGCACTCATCACAGGTGGTAGAGGGTTGGAAAGAAAAGTCCAGTTACCGTTAAGTAGCACCGTAGCACTGTCCTCCCGTTGTTCATTGATTTGCTCGAGGAGGCACCAGTAACATCTCCATTGTGAGACTTGTTCTTACTGTTTTTGGCATATTGAATATGCCACAGGGAGCTTGCCAGGCTCTGCCATGTGGCTGGGACACTCGGTAGCCTGCCGGGCTCTCTGAGAGAGATAGAGGAATTGAACCCGGGTCGGCTGCATGCAAGGCAAACGCCCTGCCCGCTCTGCTGTTGCTCCAGCCCTACCGTTAAGTACATAATATTATTGCCTTGGAAATGGTGGTGTGTTCTGGATGTCTGTGGGATAAAAATTAGGTAATGACCCAGTTTAAGGAGTCTGGGAAGTGTGTTAATTTGCATATGCTTCATGTATTTCAGTGGCTCTCAGCAGCTTCTGTTAGAAATGAATCGGTCCATCAGTAATACTCAGAAATGAGCATTGTATTTTGTGTATGCTTGTAAAACTTAAGCACAGTATCATTTTCAATAATAGGAAACACCATTAAGCTCACTTTATTGTTTCTCTGTTGCAGATATCGATGGCCTAATTACGCAAGCCTTGCTGACGGGTAATTTTGCAAGTGCCGTTGACCTTTGCTTGCATGATAACCGCATGGCTGATGCCATTATATTGGCCATAGCAGGTGGACAAGAACTCTTGGCCCGAACCCAGAAAAAATATTTTGCAAAATCCCAAAGTAAAATTACCAGGGTATGTTACTTTTAAAGTGAACAATGTCATTTATCTAATTACTGAAATTATACGCTCTTATTACAAGTAATTAAAATGTGGAGAACAGTAAAGAGCAGAAACTCACTGTTTCTGATCCAAAAATTGGCAGCTGGCCTATTTTTTTGGCCTACATCTAACCAATATCTGGCCAATATCCAACCTAGGTACTGTTCTGATTTTCTATGTTGCACTTGTCATTTTAAAAGGACAGATAGTCTTCATATTTTTATCTATTAGACACAGAAAAACGGAGAGATGCAAATGTTCACACTCTCTAATTCTTGTCAGAACCTTGCACATCCTTCCATGCCTTTTCGTCTTAATAGAACTTATATAATAGGAGCAAGGTCATCCATGCCCTCAGGCCCAGGGCACCATGTGGGTGCCAAGATGGAACCTGGCTCAGCAGCATGCAAAGCAAACGTCTTATCCAACCCCTTGGTGTGGAGTTTTACTTATAGATATTGTTAAAATTATTGTCAGTATTTCCCATATCACTAGGCATTCTTAGAAAAATTAACTGCCCTAAATTGCCCTATTAAACTGCATAGGAAGCATATGTTATTTCCTTTGATGGAGTATTTTTGTAATTTCTGATATTTTCTGAATATAATCTAGTGACAGTTACCCTTTTCGTGCCTAAAACTCTGTGTGAATTTGTGATTGTTTAATGAAGCTGCCATTTTTCCTTGGTTTCATTATTGTGGGCCTCCCAGGCAGGTCCCACAGGGGTTTTCCTCCCCGCTGGCCCGAGCGTGCTGTGCAGCTCACAGCTGAGGGTGCTGGGGTGCTAGGTGGCCTCTTAGGCTGGACCTGATGATGCTTGAGTGACCCTGTGGTGCTCGGAATTGAGCCTGGCTGGCACATGCCAGGCTGCCCCCATCTGTCTGCTTTCTGCTGACCCCAGAGAGGCCACACTGGGAAAGGACTTGCTCGCACACCATGTCGGAACCTCTGGGTCCCACCTAGGGGTGTTCTGGGCTCTGCTCCCTGCTGCGTCCCCTCTCGGCCCTGCCCTGAGAGCCTTGAGGCCCAGCGGATGCTGATCTCTCCCTCCCTGGAGGAGCATCCCAGTATCGGGTCCGAGCCTGGGCTGCGCAGTTCCCCCAACACGTGCACTCAGCTCCCCGCTGCCCTTATCCACGCCACCTCCTGGCCGCTGCTCCCGGAACTTCTCTCTCCCCCTCAGATGGGCGCCTCTTGTCTTGGCCAGGGAGGTCTTCTCTTTCTCGATGAAGTTAGCTCAAACTTCACATCGCAGATGTTGGTAGTAGAACGGTCTATCCAGTCCATCACACAGGTCAGGTCTTCTGTGAAATGTTTCAGCAATACCCATACATTTAATTTTCAGCATTTGGTGAAGTATGTGTTTTTTTTTTGAGGAAAAATAATAACCAATTTTTATGTCATTTGGTCCAGGAATATACTCACTTTGCTGCTATATTCTGCATGAAGCACTATAAGCAGTGATTTAAAAAAAAAAATACAGTTAATTAGCCAGCAATTAATTACTATTAACTTAATTAACTGTTTTCCCCTTTGTTTTCTTTTCCCAAGCTCATCACTGCAGTGGTCATGAAGAACTGGAGAGAGATTGTCGAGTCATGTGACCTTAAGAACTGGAGAGAAGCCTTAGCGGCAGTGTTGACGTACGCGGAGCCAGAGGAGTTCCCGGCCCTTTGCGGTAAGGGACTGAGCTTTGTCCGTGTGCTCTGTGTATGGCTGGGCATATTGAAAATATGAGAAACAAACAGATTTTATTTAAAACGTCCATGAAACCTAGAATGGTAAAAGTCCTCACTTGAATATGTTTTTCAGTATCGTTAATTGCATTCCTCCTCCGTACCTGGCATTTGTTTTTAATCCTGCTACATTGATGGTTTTGGTTCCAGATCCACCCAGCTTGGAATCGTAGCTCTACCATTTGCTCGCTAATGTATGGCCTAACAGAAGCTCTCAGCCTGTTCATTTGGCAGATGACACACAGTCGGCCTTTATAAATGAGCGTGGGACATTAATAGACATCACCATAAATACCAGGACTAAAAGCGTGGTTAAGGAATAAATAGTAGTCACAAGAATAGGAGCTGCGGGCAGGGGTCAGAAAACCCTTGAAAGTATTATGACAGTCCAAAAACGAGAGGATATTGCCTTCGTCCTCGTGTTGTCTTCATAGCAGGGCTACCTAGCAGCGATGTTTGCTGTACACGCGCCGCCATAGGGCAGGATGCTGCTTCTAGAAGCTATGGGGGTGGGTGACCGCGTGGAATCAAGTGTTTTCGTTAGCAATACTTAAACCCTGTTCCCAGTTATTTCAGCTTTCCGTGTGTTGCGGTTTGCTGGGGGGTACGCCTGGTGGTGCTCAGTATGGGGTGGAATAGGACTGTGAGGCGTCGGGGCTGAGCCTGGGCCCCCTTGCTGCCTCCACTTTGCCCTGTCCTGTTTCTCCAATACGACTGCCAGAGTCCATTCTGGAGCGTAGGATGCCGCTTCTTACGTCTGTGTCACGTGGACACATCCTCAGTCACCTCGCAGAGCCCCTGTGCCATGCCCTGCCAGGATGATGATGTTCCTGCCCGCTGCTGCGCGCCGGCCCCACCCTGCACACCCTGCGGCTCGCCGGTCTCTGACCCTGCTTCCTCCCTCTGTCCCACAGCCCTCCTGGGGAGCAGGCTGGAGCGGGAAGGCGACGGGCTCCTGCAGACACAGGCATGCCTCTGCTACATCTGCGCCGGGAACGTCGAGAAGCTGGTCGCCTGCTGGAATAAAGCTCAGGATGGAAGCAACCCGCTCTCCCTTCAGGTTTGGATCTTGGAAACAAAACTCGGCTGCTGCTTTTTTCTTAGAGTGCTGTCTCTCGGGGTCTGGAGCGATAGTACAGTGGGGAGGGCGTTTGCCTTGCACGCGGTCGGCCCGGGTTCGATTCCCAGCATCCCATATGGTCCCCCAAGCACCGCCAGAAGTGATTCCTGACTGCAAAGCCAAGAGTAACCCCTGAGCATTGCCGGGTGTGACCCAAAAAGAAAAAAAATAATTGTTGTCTTTCATGGTACACATGGACTGGAATTGAGTCAAATTCTGTCCCAGGACAGATTTCTCCCTGCTCATTCTTGTTTCTGAAGTGCTGAGATGATCCAGTGGGTTCGTGTCTCTATTTCCCAGGGCCTCCGTTTGTTACAGCAGGAGAGTAAAAATAGAAGGGTTTGCTCTGCTCGCGGGATCAAAGTCACGGGTGGTTTGTCGAGGAAAGAAGCTGTCAGGAGCGTGAGCCCAGCTGGGGACTGTCGCTGTGTCCCCTGCTCTTGTCCAGGAGCCCTGGTTGCCGTGTTGCAAAGGGAAAAACGGGGCGGGGGGGGGGGAGGCGGGGGCTGGAGCTCACCTGCGCCCCATAGAGAATCCTGGGAAACAGAAGTCAGGGAAACGGAAGCTCTTGTAGCATCAGGACACACGCAGGCGAGGAAGGAAGGAGTGTGAGAGATATTCTCAGGTGCACAGAAACAAAAAGTACCCTTTTTTTTGGTGTGATTTTTGTTTGGGGGCCACACCCACGGGTGCTCAGGGCTTACCCAGGCTCTGCTCAGTGCTCCCCCCAACAGTGCTCCAGGGACCCTATGAGGTGCGTCCGATGGAACCCGGCTGGGCTGTGTGCAAGGCAGGTGCCCTCCCCAATGGCCTCCTGCTTTCGCTGTCGGCCTTTGCCTCTGAGTATTTGTACTCGGCATGTGCCCCACACTCTGAGGCTATTCAAGTCTAAGTCAGTGAAACTGCTCACCTAGCACTGAGTTCAGACCTCGAGGGTCCGTCACAGGCTTTGGGCATCTTGGTGCTGCCTCTCCGTTGCCTGCTCTCACTCTCCGTCCCCCTCTCCTCCCTGCCTTCCTCATCCTCTGTTCTTCTTCCTGCTTAGGATCTGATTGAGAAGGTCGTGATCCTGCGGAAAGCTGTCCAGCTCACCCAGACGCTGGACGCAGGCACCGTGGGCGTCCTCCTGGCCGAGAAGATGAGTCAGTACGCCAATCTGTTGGCGGCGCAGGGCAGTATTGCCGCGGCCTTGGCTTTTCTGCCTGAGAACACAAACCAGGTGATTGGTCCTGATTGTTTCTCGGCCTTTGACGTTGCCGTGATGTAAAGGTGCGTCCTTGGATAACTGCTCAGTGTGGGACGTGAGCGCACGCCAGGAGAGGTGGCCTGGAGTCTGGTCCTGTCACTGGTCTGTGGGTGAATGATACCGACCGTCTTCAGGGATGGGTTGAGGTGGGCCTCCACGGCATCAGAGATGTGCACAGACTAGCTCCCACGGCACGGAGGACGACATTTGGGAAAAATGATTGAGGAAAGGCCTAGCTTGCTGATTTTTAAGTGAAATGATTCAAATAATGAAAAATTTGTAAAGATTTTTTAAAAGCTATACGTGAATATATTTTTTAACAGTTTCGGGTTTGGGTTTTGGTTTTGGGCTCCAGCTGGGCTGTTCCTGGCTCGGTGCTCAGGAGAGGCCTCTGGTAGTGCTTGGGGACCAGATGTTTTTTAGTTTCAAAGTACATTACTTCTTTCAGTTTTTGTTTTGTTTTGTTTTTGTTGGTTTGTGCCACACCTGGCATTGCTCAGGGCTTACTCTTGGCTCTGTGTTCAGGGATCGCTTCTGGCAGGGCTCAGGGGACCCTGTGGGGTGCCAGGATCAAACTCTGGTTTGTCATGTGCAAACAAGCACCCTGCCCACTCTCTCTCTGACCCCCTTTAAAGTACATTCTTACAGAAAGCATAATTTTAATCTTGCCGCCTTTTGTGTGTGTCTCAGTAGACTCTAATTGTTAATTCGGAAATTATCTGGTGGTAAGACTTTGTGATACCATTATGTAATCTTCTCTGTACAAGGCAATCAAGTATGCCTGGAAAATTCTAAATGAAATCTTGGAACTATTATCTGTGAATTTTTAAAAAAATATTATGCAGAAATGTATAGTATTTTAGAATATTAAAACTAAATATAAACATTTTAATGTACTGCCTTTTTTGTCATTTGGTCAGCTTATACTTACTGTAGATCTATATCATTGTAAATTTTTTTTATATTTTAAATTTTTTTATTAAAAAAATTTTTTAATAGTGAGACATCATGAGGTACAGTTGCAGACTTACACATTTTTTTTTCCCCTTTATTGTATTTTATTTTTTTTTAAAGTTGTAGATTTACAATTTTTTGTGCTTTGGTTTCAATTATACAATGATCAGATACCCATCCCTCCACCAGTGCCCATTTTCCACCACCATGGATAATATCCCTCCCACCCCCATCCCCCCATCCCCCCTGTCTCTGTGGCAGGGCAATCCCCTGTGTTCTCTCTCTCCTTTTGGGTGTTGTGGGCAGACTTACACATTTTTGTGCTTGGGTTTCAATTATTATCATTGTAAATTTTTATAGATTACATTTTATTATATTTTACCCCCAATTTATTTCTTGTCATTTTTGTTAAATTAAGTTTCATCTTTCTCAAATCACCATTTTTAAGAGTTATTCTTCTTGAGACCTTTTTCCCTACAAAGAAACAAATTGCATTTTAAATTGCTTTTGCGTAGTAATCGTGTGATACATTGCTCAGCTACAAGGAAATGTCAAAAGAGCAGTAATCCTGAGATGCCCTCATAGGCCTTTCTGCAGTGGGCATGGTACAGGTTCCTTCTCCGCTGACTGCGTTCTCCTACGTGTCGTGGGCCTGTGCTACCAGTTGTGAGTGTTACAAACTGTCCTGTCAGGTTGGAGGCCTGTTGCCGAACGCCGGTCATATAAAGGGGAAGGGGCCTCTTGAGAAGGTCAACATGCCGGCCTGCAGTTGGGTGAGTCCTAACACTGCTTTCTTTCATTCCACGTCTCTTCCAGCCGAATATTGTGCAGCTTCGCGACAGGCTTTGCAGAGCACAAGGAGAGCCTGCGCTGCCACAGGAAGCCGCCAAAGTGCCGCACGAGAGGCAGCAGCTCCCCAAGGGCCGGCCGGGCCCGATGGCCGGCCACCGGCAGATGCCCAGGCTTCCGACTCAGCAGTATTATCCCCAGGTTAGTGTCCCGCCCCAGGCTAAGTCGGCACGTGTAGGTGTTTCTATTGGAGCCGACAAGACTGGACTGTGGGCCAAGAGGTTTTACTTGGAAGGTCCAAACTTGATCACAGTGTGTGTGATGGGGCAGGGCTGAAGGCACCTGCCTTGCATGTGGTCAGCCCCAGTTTGATCCCTGCCACCACACGGTCCCCCACGCACCACCAGGAGCAGCCCCGGAGCACAGAGTATGGAGTAGTCCCAGAGGATCACCAGGTATGACACCCAAGTCCCACCAAGAGGAGAAACCAAAGAAGCTCAGGGTAAGGTCTTGTGTGGCCAGCCCTGGTTGGATCCCTCCAGCCGTTTGTTCCCTGAGCTCTGCTGGGTGGGATCCTCGCCTCCCCCCAACATCCGGTCAAACATTAGGTGTTAAATAGGAAATTTCCCAGGGTGATTTCTTATTTTTCCATCACTTTTAGTTTCCAGATGCATCCATTCTTGTAATTCAGAGAACAAACTTTATGTAAAGTAGAAGTGACCTTGTGGGTGATTTGTTGAATTTTGTCAGATACTTTCAGAAAAATTTTTGCCCCCTGTATTTTCCGAATTATTAGTGCAGGGTTTACTGTGTCTTCTGCCTAGTACAATCAAGACTATCCAGAAGATAATGTTTATTTGAACAGATTGTGTATTAGAGAAATGTGAGTGAATGACCAGATGTTTATAAAGCAGAAGTTGTCGGGAATATGAAGAATATTAAATAATATTCGTTAAAATGACTCAGCATTTAGTAGCATAAATGTAGCCTGTTTTTCTTTCCACTGTTTCCAGACTAATGTAAAGCCTCCATATTTTTTCAAACAACAGCTTTATTTTTATATAAAATAAATAGATACTTTGCCCATATTTAAAAAAGAAGCATAGATTAAGGACCACGGAGAGCGCTCCGGAGAATGGTGCTTAGATGCTCTTGGTGAGATTCACACTGTTTCCCCACCCAGGCCCCTGGGTCTCCTTTTTCCCAGAAATCCAGGACGGATGCTGATAGGCCGACAGGGCCTTCTTTACCTTTCGCCGTCCTGGACAAAAGTCATGGGAAGCCAGGCAGACCTACGTGTGCTCTGTCTGTTCCCTGGCGAGCAGGGCCTGATCAGGATGACCCCGTGTGACACAGTGCCTGTCCCCTAGAGCAGTGGTTTCTGCCCGTCCCCAGCCAGCGCTGGGCCGGGGATTTCCAGCTGTCGGCTGGCCCTTCCACTAGGGCTGGGAACCACAGATCTAGAATGTTCTCTCTGCTTTCCGTTTCCTTCTTCCGCTTCACAGATCATTGCGGAAAGCCTTAGGAGGGCCCGACTAGAACTTGATTTGTTGCGTGTATGTTTAAAACAAAACAAGGGCCAGAGAGATAGTACAGTGGGCCAAGCATCTGCCTTGCACGTGGCCGACCCGGGGTTGGCTCCCGTCCCCTGAGCACTGCCAGGAGTGATCCCTGAGCACAGAGCCAGGAGGAAGCCCTGAGCACTGCGGAGTGTGGCCCAAACACTAGCAATAAACAAATTTTTCTTTATTTTTGTGGAAGTTGCACTAGACTTACACTAGGAAATAAAATGATGATTTGGAAAAGGGAGGGATTAAGTTCCTTTCCAGAGTTTAAGACAGATTTCTCTGCATCGTGTGGCATTCTGTCACTGGGAGAAGGATCTCTCTCTCTCTGTCTGTCTCTGTCTCTCTCTCCTCTCTTTTTCTCTTTCTCTACTCTCTCCTCTCTTTTTATTTTTTTGCTTTTTGGGTCACACCTGGTGTTGCACAGGGGTTACTCCTGGCTCATGCCATCAGGAATTACTCCTGGTGGTGCTCCGGCGACCATATGGGATGCTGGGAATCGAACCCGGGTTGGCTGCGTGCCAGGCAAACACCCTACCCACTGTGCTGTCACTCCAGCCCCTCTCTCCTCTCTTTCTCCCTCTCTCCCCTCTCTCTCCCTCTCTCTCTCTCTCTCTCTCTCTCTCTCTCCCCCCCCACCCCCTCTTTCTCCAAAGGTAAATATATTTAAAGACCTTTGTTAGACTTAGAAATCTCATAAGGGGAGAAAACCAGGTTGAGGCATGAATTAAAGCATTGTTTGCAGAGCAGGAGGGGAGGGCTGGAAGGGAGGCAGGTTTCGTGGGGTACCACTCTGCCTGGAGCGTAGTTGCTTAGTTACCAGAGTTTGTCTCAAGACTTCATTCCCAAAGAAAGATGTTGATGGCTTCCCGTTCTTTGGGGGACCCTCTGGCCTTGCAGAAACAGGCGTGGTGAGGTGGGCTAACCCGCGGCGCCCAACCCTGCCTCGGTCGCAGGCTTGCCCTGGCCTCCCTGATCTGAATAAGGTTTCTCTGGGTCTGGCTTTCTCGGTGGGGGGGGCTAAACGGGGGGATCCCGAATATTTGCCCTTAATATACTCTGATTGTGCTGTTGATTCTTAGCTTCCTCGGGGACTAATGATTTTTGTGACGCTAACTGAAATCAAGAAATGGAGCTTTGTGTTTACAAATGTAATGGCAGCATGGAGACTATTAATGCTTCCAAACAATCACTCTTTCTTTCAGTTACTTTCTCTGGAATGTCTTTCCTTCCTCACTTAGAGGACGTAGCTCTTGCCTTTCTTCTGGACACTCTGGAATGGCGTTATTCCTTGAGCTTTTGATTTAGATTCTCACTGATTGTTCCCTCCCCCCCCCCCCCCCCATCTCCCTGTTACGTGGTAAATGTGCATTTTTTTTTTAAAGTACGCACTGCCTTGAAAGCAATTGCCTAACGTCTATGCTGTCTTGCGGCTCTTATTTTCCATCTTGCATGGCCATGAATGCCTTTGGGGTTTTTTTCTTCTTTTAACGTTTCGTTTTTTATTTTCTGTGATTGGTGTTTCTTTGTTCGATTCAGGTTAGAGTTGCCCCTACTGTCACTACCTGGAGTGACAAAACTCCCACTGCCCTTCCCAGCCACCCACCTGCAGCCTGTCCCTCTGACACACAGGTATAGCCTCCCTTGTTCCTCCCTGAGCGACGCTCCCTGACTCCGCAGCGCGATGCGCCCTGCCCGCTCGTCACCCTCCCCCCATCTGTCTGCCTGCTTTTTGCCTTTTTAAGCTTTTAAGATGCAAGAAGCGATTTTCAGTACGACTCATTTTCTTTTCTTGTTCCTCTCTCCGCCTGTAGTTCCAAATTAATTTCCACTAGAAAATCAATCCAGGTTCTCACTGGTCTAATTCTGATTTCACTGAAGATTTTCTTTCTTTTTTTTTTTTTTTTAACTCTGTGCTTTCTTTCTCATTTCTTTCTGAGCATCGCAGAAATTGAAGGAAATTGAAGCCAATTCCCCTCGTGATATTGTCCTTTTGTTTCCAAAATGTGGAGAGTAGATGGGATTTAGTAAAGGTGGAAAATCCTGGTGACTTGTAAATATTGTTGGCACTGTGTTATCAGGTTCCTTGGCATCGCTTGCCATTCACTGCAGTGATTGCTTTGGGCCTCGTTGAGCCTTAAATCTTCAAAATAAATTGCTTGGGGAAGGGGAAAAAAAGTGTCCTCAATAAGACTGGCTGTGGAAAATGCAGTGTTTCTTACAGTCAAGGTGTTGTTTACACATGAAAAGCAGAGGTGCGCAGATGCACCCGATAGCGTTCTGGGCTCAGCACGTGACCTCCTCTGTACCCTCTGTCATCTGCAGGGAGACAACCCGCCCCCTCCGGGCTTCATCATGCACGGGACCGTCCAGCCCGGAGCCACGGCCCCTCCGCTGCCCACCGCGGGGCACATGCCCGCCCAGGTCGCTGCGTATACACAGCCACAGCGTGAGTAACCCGCGCCCTGCTGTCCTGCCTCAGCCCCAGAGCCATGGTCGGGCTCCAGCCTCTCTCGTGCGAGGGAAACGAGCTTCCCTGGGGTGGCCCTGCACAGTGCCCCTGTCGGGCCTCGACAACACTGGCCTCCGTTCCCGAACCCTGACCGAGAGCCGTCAAAGAGAGACTCCAGGCCTGTAATTTGGGTCATAGAACCTCAGAGGGGCTCGAAGGATACTAGAGCGGGCAGGGCACTTGCCTTGAGTGTGACCAACTGGAGTTGGATCCCCGGCACCCCCCTGTGGTCCCCTGAGCCCTGCCAGGAGTAATCCCGGAGCACAGAGTCAGGAATCAGCCCTGAGCATCTCCAGGATGGGCGCCAAAAAACAAAGAATCAGAGAAGTCGTGGATGTAGCTCAGTGCTTAGAAGATCAAGTTTGCAGGTTTGGTTCTAGCAGCCCCCCCCCCCCCATCATCCCCGAAGAAAAATAAATTAAAAAATTAAAATACAGGGACTGGAGAGATAATAGGGTAAAACCTTGCAAGCAGCTAGCCCAGTTCGTATAGCATCCCATATGGGCCCCCAAGCACGGCCAGCAGAGATCCGTAAGCCCAGGGCTGTGAGTAAGCCGAGTGTGACCCAAAAATCTACACACACACACATACACTTTAGGGAATTATTTGGACTCTTTTCCTTGGCAAAATGATCCAAACTACTTTTGGAAAAATAGTCCGAGGTATATTCATTGTTATTTTCCATTTTGTTTTTTTAGACATTTTTCTCTAAGGCAGGTGTTGGTTCATAGTAAAATCGAGTTGAATGTTCAGAAAGTTTCAATATCTAGAGCGATGTCACGTGGGTAGGGCATTTGCCCAGGTTGCATCCCAGACATCACTTAGGGTCCCCTGATGGCTCGGGTTACTCCTGGCCCTGCACTCAGGAATCACTCCTGGCGGTGCTCGGGGGACCCTATGGGATGCCAGGGATCGAACCTGGGTCGGCCACATGCAAGGCAACCACCCTCCCGGCTGTGCTATCGCTCCAGGATGGTTTTGAGCCTCCTGGACCTGCTCCTCCCCTGCACAGCCAAGGGTGTCACTTGGCGTCTGTGCCTCTGGCCTGGCTCCACCTGGTGGCTCATCACCGTCATTGCCATCCTCCGGAGAAAGTTCCAAGAAAGTCGCCTTTTGCAGTTGTTTGGATCCGGGGATTCACAGATTTTCTTGTCTTCGCCTCCTAAAATGAGAGATCATCAGGAGACGGAGCGAAGGGGCAAGGCCCTGGGCAGCTGCCTGTGGTGGTAGGAGTGGGCTCCAGGTCTCCCGCCAGCGCCGGGCTCTGTGTTCGGCTGTGTTCAGGCACCGGGTGCGAGTAGGAGCCTGCCCTGCGCCTTCCCGCATGCTTGGGACTTGACTCAGGGCAGGAACCCTGGGGGGAAAAGGTGACGGAGCATCGGAGCGAGCCGTGACTAATGAGCGTCTCTTTTCCTTCCCGGTGTAGCTTACCAGCCAGTGCAGCAGTACCCCTTCGGATCCGGGGGCACGGCCGCCTTCCGGCCCCCGCAGCCCGCCGCGCCGCCCGCCTCCAGCGCCTACCCCAACGCCCCGTTCGCGTCCTCCGCGCCCGCCTACTCGGGCCAGCCTCCGCTCTACCCGCCGCCGCAGCACCAGGCGTCCCCGCCGGTCGCCAGCCCTGCCAGCGCCTTCCCCCCGCCCCCGCCCTCCGGACCGTCCTTCCAGCACGGCGGCCCGGGCGCGCCCCCGTCCTCCTCTGCCTTCACTCTGCCGCCGGGGGCCAGCGAGCTGCCCGCGTCCCAGAGGACAGGTCTGCGCCCCCCCGGGTGGGCAGAGGGGAATAGGGCTGCTAACTCCACACTGGGTGGTCCGGGGTGTTGGCTGCGGGTTAGAACACTCAGAGGATGTCTGCGAGTTGCCAAGTGAGGCAGGCGTGAGAACTCCCAAGGGATCAGAGCCCGCGGGCTGCCACTGAGCTTCAGAGCAGAGGCGAGAAATGGATGGGCGGACTGAGGAGCGGAGCCAGGTACATCTCACAGTTTCCTTCTGAGGTCAGGCCCCGCGGCATGTGCTGGGCCCACTGGGGGTTCAGGGGCACGTCCCCACTCGCCACTGAACATTGCCACCAGGGGTCACTCCTGAGCACAGAGCCACGGGTGGTCCCTGAGCCTCTTTGGCTATAGCCCGGCTCGCCTCCTGCTCTCCCCCAGAAAGTAGGGATAGGTGGATTAGCAGGCGTTGAACATGCCTGGAACGTCTGCTAGCACTTGCCGTTGTCACTCTCCTGGCCACGAGATTCGGGACTGACGTTTCAACTGGTCGGAACGGTGCTGGCGGTCTGCACGTGGAGACGGGAACAGCCCCTCGGGCTCAGGCCCTTAGAGAAGGACTCGGGCTGTGTCTGTCAGCACTGCCTCTGGGAAAATAGTCGGTTTCTTTCTAATCTGAGTTAAATGTTTGCAGGCTTTTTTTTTTTTTTTAATTTCTCCCTAAGCAAAACTGTATTGGGTCGTGGCATGAAGTCTTTGCTTATGTACGATAACAAAATCTCCTCGGGAGGCTGGAAAGCAAAGACTAATAATAGGAACCGCGGAGCAAGCGTTTCTCAGCCTTGCTGCTCCGTTGCCCCTCGCGGGCTCCCCGCCCGCTGTGTTTCAGTTAGTGGTTTCAGCTCTGTACTACTCTCCCTTCTGATGCCCTCAGTGTTTTTGCTTAGCTGCTGTAAACGGTTGTGAGTGAGCTGTGGCCTCAGTTCACGCCGTGCTTCCTCATGAAACTTGGAAGTCTTACTTGCCGTGTGGGTGATTCTTGCCAGGCCTCAGGACGTTGTTTTATTTCATGTGTTGGGGGAAGGTCAGGGTCACTCCCAGGACATTGCTCGGGGACTGCTCCCAGCGGTGCCAGGACCACACCCGCCTCCTTTATGCAAAGCATCGCTCGGCCACTGAGCGCTCTCTCCAGCTCAGCACTAAGATTTCAGAATCCTCTAATAGGGAACCACAAAAATGTGTGCCCCGAGCTCACAGGAATAGTGTCACAATCATCAGGACATGAATTCACTAATTTGAGGGGTGCGGACAGGGCACACACACCCAGTGGAGGTCACAGCTGACTCCTGGCTCTGCTCGGGGGTCACCTCTGGAGGTGCCCCTGAGACCATGTTTGCAGGCAACGCAGGGATTGAACGAGAATCAGCCACGTGCACCCTAACCCCTGTATTACCTCGGGCCACTTCCTGTTTTGAGGTCACACCAGTTGACCCTGATTTCGTCCCAGCACCGTATCTGATGCCCCCAATCACTTTTGGGAGTGACCCCTCAGTAGAGAGATAATAGTAAGTCCTGAGCCTCCCCGACTGTGCTTCCAGAAGAAAAAAAAATTATTGGACGGTTCTGTTCAGTAGTAGAACATGTGGGTTGCGTGCATGAGGAACTGGATTTATTCAGGCAGCTTACACACACACACACACACACACACACACACACACACACACACACATTAATTGAATCTGAAACGGCTTAAGTTCCATTTGACCCAGAATTGATTGCTTTCTTAGATAGAAGAATTAGATAGACATTTCTCAGGATTTAAGTTCTGTTCCCTTGAAAGATTAGTTTGTACTTTCTGGGCTTGAAGGATGTAGAAAAAAAACAATTGAAAGTGAAAAAATGTGTTTAGTATGTCTTTGATAATACCAGCTAAGTCTCTTTTACATTTTATCTACAGAAAATCAGTCTGTGCGAGACCAGGCACCTCTGTTGGAAGGTGAATTGGTTATGAAAATAAAGTTTTGGAAATCTTTGAATCATTTAGTAACATTGATAAATGGCCATTCACAATATTGCATGTGAACTTCAGAATTGAAGATATTCTAAATCTAATTAGAGTCATCTTTAAATTTGTCTGTTTAATTAATCAAATTCTTACAATTGGACTTAATAGTGAGCTTATAAAGTTGCTTTAAATCATAAAAGCCGTCTACTTGATATCAACATAAAAATTGCTACCTCAAGATTGTCTTACATTCAAGTGAGATTAAAAGGTGCTGGGGAAGATTTGTATAAGATTTGATAAATAATCTATAACCAGGACTTTAAGAACTTGATAAGCAGCGGCATATGATTTAATATTCTGTGATTGCCTCTTGACTGTTGTGAGATCAATTTGGTGAAATCTCTCTGTGAACTTGCAGAAGACTGATTCTGTTTTTTAAAATCAGGGCAGGTAAATATACATGCTGGTTGCAGTTTTGTTTTGGGGGGTGGGTTTTTTGTGTGTTATTTATTTTGTTTTGTTTTTTGTTTGGGGGCCACACTGGGCTGTGCTCAGGGCTGACTCCTGGCTCTGCACTCAGGGGTCACTCCTGGCCCAGCCATATTCGAGGCAAGCTCCTTACTCACTAGACTATCTGTATGGCCCCAAGAACTTTTTTTTTTTGAATCACTGTGAGATAGACCCTTACAAAGCTGTTAATGATTGGATTTCAGTCATACATTATTATTCTAACAATTATCCCTCCACCAGTGCACATTTCCCAGCACCAGTATCCCCAATTCTCTTCCCTCACCCCCAATTCTCCACCTCCTGCCTACCTGTATGGCAGATGCGCTCTCTCTCTCTCTCTCTCTCTCTCTCTCTCCCCCCTCCCTCCCTCCCTCTACCCCTCTCTCCTTCTTCCTCCCTCCCCCGCCCCCCTTTTGGGCATTGTGGTTTGCAGTATTGATACCGGAAGTTTGTCAAGAATATCCTTGTACCTACTTTTAGCACTCAGTTCCGAGAACTTGTTTTCAAAAGTTTCTTTGACATTCTACGTAATTATGTATGAATCACAGATTCTTTTTCTTGCTCAGCATTTTTGTGATTTAGCATATGCATATCAATAAAACAAGTACAGGTAAAATATTCTGTCTGATCTCTGGCAAGTTTTATTCCCTTTTTTCTTTGAAGATATTGGCATTCTGATATTTAGTGCATACTACTACAAATGTCCATGTCATACTCTAATAAGATGACAGCTTTTGGGGGGAAGGCATTGACAGAAGTGTCTTAGGGTGAATTGCTCTCGGGAAATGGGAGTTTGCTACTTTTATTCTTTTTTGTGAGTGAAATATATCTTAGGTCTGTTGATTCAGATGATTTGTTTGTTTTTTTTTCACCTACAGAGAATTGCTAATTTGGCAATTATAGAACCAGTATGGATGTGAAGACTTGACTGTTTTAAATTTAGTTCCTCTTTTCACTTTCAGTGGAAGTAATGTCAGGTCATTACTGTGCAGTAAGCCAAGACCTGGTGGCTCTTAGAAGTAACGAGCCTGAGAATCCCGGTCTCGGCGGCCCCACGGCCCAGTCTGGGGAATCTCGTGATGGTTACTTACGGCTTAGGGCAGAACTTGAAGGCTTTCTGTTACGATGGCGTGATGCCCTGAGGTTTCAGGATTCAAAAGGAGTATTTGCTCTCTGTTGTCTGTTACAGGCCCTCAGAATGGCTGGAATGATCCTCCTGCTTTGAACAGAGTGCCCAAGAAAAAGAAGGTACCAGAAGAAGATGCCCTTCCCATTGCCTCCCGGGGTTCTGTTAGCTGCGGTCCCCGGAGCCCAGCACACTTCCCCAGTCCTTTCCCGGGCACAGCTGACCGACCCTGTAGAGTCACTGAAGGGCAGGGAGGAAAATAGAATCCGGTCTCCTCAGAACTGTGCTGTGATCGTGGGGGCTGAATCGCTCTCGTCTTTGCGTCCCGACAGTCATCATGAATTTGGTCCCTGTATTTTAGGCTCACTGTGTCTTCACTTAGAGCATGAGTGGAGAAATCAGCCCTGAGGCCGAGCATTGTGTAGGTGTCGGTAACTCTGAGAGCTGTTAGAGCACCTGTCCCCCACAAATAAGAAAAGGCAGTCACCAAATTGGGAGGCACCGAATGAACAAAAAGTCCCGAAATGGAGGTCACTAATGGTCAGAAGCTTAGTCTTCTACTTGAGTGCTTAATGGCCAGGGCGTCCTGCTCCGTGACCTAGGCGAAGGGTCATACGCCCTGTCCCAAGGAGCACAAACACACCTTTGGCATTTCTGACCCTGCATCTTGAGATGGAAACTGAGAGGAAGTGTGGAAGGCGAGGGGGAGCGCAGAAAACCGAGTTTCAGCCACCCTCCCTCTGAGCTGGGGCAGCTTTGCTGTTCTTTCAGATCCTGCATAGCCTTTTCCGGGGGGGAAAAGGGAAGCACGGGAACTTAAGCATCTTTTTAGCCGTGGAATAATCTGCCTCCCTTCCGTCCACGTCCGCTGAGGACATGTTGGCGGCATTGTTTTCCTTCTCACGCGTGCTGTCTTCTGTTTCCATCTTTCGAAAGATGCCTGAGAACTTCCTGCCGCCTGCCCCCATCACCGAGCCCATCATGAATCCCCTGGGCGACCCTCAGTCGCAGATGCTGTCGCCACAGCCTTCTGGCCCAGCGCCCCTGGCGGGCCACGCGTCCTTCCCGCAGCCGCCACAGCCCGGGGGACAGCCCTTCCCCGGCCAGCCCGGCCTGCCGCCCGCCTTCCCCAAGCCCAGTATGGAGGGGGCCCCAGGGGCCCCCATCGGAACCGTCCAGGTAACGCTGTGCTGGGATTGCGGGATTGGGGAGCAGGGAGGGCTCTCAGGTGGGGTCTCTTAAAACAGTTTGAAAGGATTCTTCCCTTAGTGAGTGCGCGCGGCTGGCTTCGGGTTAGACAGCCTAAGTTAGACATGGTGGCCCTTGGATGTTAGTTTGGTAGCTTCTGGTCACTGATGGTGATTTTACTCTCTTGTAGCATGTGCAGGCTTTACCAACAGAAAAGATTACCAAGAAGCCGATTCCAGACGAGCATCTCATCCTGAAGACCACCTTCGAGGACCTGATCCAGCGCTGCCTCTCCTCCGCCACAGACCCCGTACGTCTCCTTTCCCCCAGTGGGCTTACTTGGAAGAACCTTTTACGTTGTTCTCTGTAATTACTGTCATTACTGTGCACTTATATCCTGCCTGCATATATGCCTGAAGGTGATTAGAGGCTGCCCCAAAGCTTCCATCCCTCTCGGAGAGACCGGCAAGCTACCGAATGTATCCCACCCTCACGGCAGAGCCTGGCAAGCTACCCGTGGCGTACTCGCTATCCCAAAAACAGTAACAGTGATGGTCCTCATTCCCCTGACCCTGAAAGAGCCCCAATATGCCATCGTGCTACACTGGCACGTGACAGGGACGAATGGAGATGTTACTGGAGCCCGCTCGAGCAAATCGATGGAACAACGGGATGATAGTGATTGTGGTGCTTAACATGTTTCTCACAGATTTACTTTTGTACCAAAAAAACACATTTGGACGGATATTTTGCACAAAAGTCAGACAAGGCGTCGGAGAGATCGTACGGGGATTAAGGACAGACCTTGCACACTGCTGCCCCGGTTGGGTCTCCCGGACCCTGAGGTCATGGTGGCCCCAGAGCATGACGGGGGCCCTGGGTAACCCCAGCACAAGGACCCAACCAACCCTGTCTTCGTGCCCTCACATTGTGCCCAGATTTTGGCTCTTTTGAATAGTGCTGCACTGAACGTAGGAGTGAAGACGTCTTTGCTGCCTTGTGTTTGGGGGCCCTTGAGGAGATTCCCAGGAGTGGAGCTGCTGGGTCCTATGGAAGCTCAGTTCCTAGTTTTTTATCTTCCAGAAATGTTGGGCCAGTTCACACCAGCAGCGAGGGAGGGCCCCTTGTCCCCACAGCCACACCCACACTGGGATGGTTTTTCTGTTTGATTGCCAGTCTCCGTGGTACCTCAGTGTTATTTTGATTTGCGTTGGGGAAGCCTTAATTCAAGAACTCAATTTATTACTTCCTTCTTAGTACTCTTAAAGCATGAGAACATGATTTTCTTTCTTCCCGTGGTGTTTCAAAGGCTCAGAAAGAGTCAAGCTTAAACATGGCAGATTTGGCAGTGTGCGGTTGTTTTGAAAGGTTGAAGCAAGATTCCAGTTCAGCCCTGTTTGTGTTCTGGCTCCCGAGGTGCCTTGTTACTGTGTGTAGCTCTCCCTCTTCAGGACACGGACCCGTGACTGCATCCACATGGCCATCGTGTTGCTGTGGATACGGGTCCCCTGAAAATTGCTGGCAATGACCCCAGTAAATCAGGCCATTATAAATACTGAGCTCCTGGACAGGAGCGATAGTGCAGTGGGGAGGGCGTTTGTCTTGCTAAGACACACACACACACACACACACACACACACACACACCTTTTCAGTGAAGTTACACACACACACATACACACACGTGCATACACACCCCTTGTCACTTCTCAATGAAGTTTGGTCTGGGTGGAAGCTAACACAGAATCCTCATGCATCTGGCAGACAGCCTCGTCCTGTTGCCTCTGACCCCACCCCATGAGTTACCATCTTTGTTCTAATAATCTCTATTTTCTTAGAGTTGCCCCCATTTACTTTAGAATGAAGCTGGTCACTTTTTTTTTTAATTTTTTTTTTTTATTAGTGAAACACCATGAGGTACATTTATAGACTTATAAATTTTTGTGCTTGGGTTTCAGTTATACAATGATCAAGTACCCATCCCTCCACCACTGCCCATCCTCCCCCACCAGGGTCCTAGCATCCCTCCCACCCCCCATCCCACCCCCCGTCCCACCCTGCCGCTGTGGCAGGGCATTCCCCCTTGTTCTCTCTCTCTTCTTTTGGGTACTGTGTTTTGCCAGAGAGGCATTGAGTGGCAATCATGTTTGGTCTATAGACTACTTTTAGCATGTCTCTCCCACCTTGGGAGGGTCTTCACAACACCCTTTATTTGGTGCTCTCTTCTCTATCTGAGCTTCCTTCTCACCTAGCACATGTGGCTGGCCTTCAAGTCATGGAGCAAAATTCCTGGTACTAATCTCAGCCATTCCTGGGTGTTAGTCTCCCGTTTTGTTGCTTTATGTTCCCCAGATGAATGCAATCTTTCTGTGTCTATCCCGCTCTTTCTTGGTCACATTTTTTTAAGTATTCTTATGTTATTTTTTGCTTTTTGTGTCACACCCAGTGATGCTTAGGGCTTACTCCTGACTCTGCACTCAGGAATTACTCCTGGCAGTGCTCAAGGGACTGTGTGGGATGCCAGGGGTTGAACCCGAGTCCGTTTTGTGCAAGGCAAATGCCCTCCCCACTGTGCTGTAGCTCCAGTCCTGAAGTGGTCACATCATGTGTGTTTAATGACAGGAGCCGAAGCATGTTCTTTGGATAGACGTTTATGTTAAAATAAAACAATTTTTTTCCCTCTCCTGCAGCAAACCAGAAGGAAGCTGGATGATGCCAGTAAACGTCTGGAGCTTCTGTATGATAAACTTAGAGAACAGACAGTAAGTGTGGCGCAAAGGAGGATTTCTTGATAACTGCTTGGTTTGTAGCGAATTAAGTGTCTCGCCAGCTCTTCCACTGGCCGTGTATGTGGGAGCAAAGTTGCTGTGAATATTAGCAGCATAGGCTTTGCTCTGTCTGAATCTTGAATTTCATTTCCTGGGCCTGAGGGGGTAGGGTGGGGGCAGATTTTAACCCTGCTTATAATTGGCAAGAGAAATATAAGCTTATAAATATTGGCCTGAAGGTGAAGTGACCCTGTATTCTTTTTTGTTTTGTTTTATTTGGGGACCACACCCTGCAGTGCTCAGGGCTTACTCCCGATCCTGCACTCGGGGATCACTCCCGATCGTCTCAGGGGACCATTTCGAGTGCCAGGGGTCGAACCCGGATTGGTGGTGGATGGGGCCAGCACCCTTCCTGCTGTACGATCTCTCTGGCCCCCGGTATCCATGTTTTTGCGTCTCTCGCATTCAGAAGTCAGAGAGCACGCTGGTTCCAGAGACCAGCTCTCTCTCTGAGTGCCGGCTCTTGGACTCTGCCGTTGGGAAGAGCTGCGGCCCAGAGCGAGTGAGTGCCCGTGACCAGCCAGCAGGACCAGCACCCGCGGCCCCTCCTGTACCCGCCTCCCGTACTGCCCTCTGGCTGTTTGATTAGTGAAGGCACTTAGACAGGAGGGGGAAAGAGAACAGGGCCGGGGGGTGTATATGCTCAGATTCCAGCGTCCCTCTTTTCACCTTCCCTGCACCGGTCCTGTCAAATGAAAATAACCGAACTCTTTATCACCTGAGACCCGAACTGAAACTAAATAACGACATGGGGGAAAAGCCCTGCAAGTTTTTATGGTTTTAAGAGTTGGCCAGATTATTTAGAAGTTACCAGAATTGTCAGAATCGAGGCCTGGAGAGAGGCTGTGGGGGGTGGGGCAGGCAGTTGGCCTGCGAAGCTTACCCCCGTGCCCGACACCGAGTATGGTCCTGAGAAGCCCCAGGAGTGAGCCCTGAGCACCACTGGGTGTGATCCGAGAGCGAACAGAAAAGACTCGACGCATCGAGTGCATGATGAAGGCTACGGCCACGCCAAGGGAGTGAATAAACAGGGTTTCTCTAGTCGCGGACGCTTTCAGATAAGTCGGGGGCCAGACAGTGGCTGCAAGTGGGTTGGATCCTTGCCACCACGTGGTCCCCTGATGACCCCAGTAAATTAGGCCGTTGCGAGTATTCAGCACCTGGCCCGGTTCACTCCGCAGTGTCCCATATTCCCTAACCCAATCCCCAGCATCTCAGTCACCCCAGGACTGATCCCTGATCACAGAGCCAGGAGTGAGTCCTGAGCCCCATGGGCTGTGGCCCCAGACAAAACCAAACTTGATCACTTGACATCCCGTTACTCATCGACTAGCCTGAGCAGGCACCAGTAACGTCTCCATTCTTCCCTGTTGCGTGCTAGCATAGCCCAGTGGCGTCTGCTCGTTCTAGGAACACGAACAGCCTCAAACCAATCGTTTAGGGTATTGACGAAGACAAAACCAAACCAAAGGAATATTCAGCTCTTGGGCCAGAGAGAGGGGACAGGACTTAAGGCACTTGCCTTGCTCGCGGCTGACCATGGTTTGATCATCCCCCCCCTTCCACACACACCACCACATATGGTCCCCTAAGCATCACCAGGTGTGGTCCCTAAGCAACGCTGTGTGTGCCTCCCAAAACGGGGAAAACCGCCAAGAATATTTCATGGGCCTCGGATGGTCTGATTCACTTGCATGCCGTTCAGAGCAGCCCTCAACTCTGAGCCTGTGGCAGCCCCTGAGTATTGTCCATTGGGGTCCAAACCCAATGCTTTCATGTATTTAATTCCTTCCTATTCATAGAAAGAAAATGGAACCGTATAAGGTTATATCTACACTGATTCATGAAATTTTAAATGCAGAGGGATATTAACATTTAATGTTGGGTTAGGAAATTTCCCTTCGTTTCTATAAGAAATACTGGGAAAGTTGTTCATGTGTCACTCTAGGGAAGTCTCTTTGTTCTGGTTCCATCTTATAATCTAAAGTGTAGCTTGATTAAAAAAGAAAACCAGGGGCTGGAGAGATAGCACAGCGGGTAGGGTGTTTTCCTTGCACGCGGGTGACCCGGGTTCGATTCCTAGCATCCCACATGGTCCCCTGAGCACCGCCAGGAGTAATTCCTGAATGCAGAGCCAGGAGGAACCCCTGTGCATCGCCAGGTGTGACCCAAAAAGCAAAAAAAATAAAAAAAAAAACAAACCCATATTTCTAGAAGTGTTGAATGGTTTCTACATTTTAAAATAATGTTTATTTCAAACCTCTTGGAATCATGAGGATGAAGTTAGTGTTTGTTGCATGGTCTCCGGGAAATTCTTTGTAAACGTCATTCTCTCTCTCGACTCCGCCTCTCAGCTGTCGCCCACGATCATCAACGGTTTACACAGCATCGCCCGGAGCATCGAGACACGCAACTACTCGGAGGGCCTGAGCATCCACACCCACATCGTCAGCACCAGCAACTTCAGCGAGACCTCCGCCTTCATGCCCGTTCTCAAAGTGGTCCTCACCCAGGCCAACAAGCTGGGCGTCTAAACGAGCAGCGCCACGCCCAGCCAGCGTGGCTGGCCGTTTTCCCAAAGAAACGTGTTTTTACCGATGGTAAGCCCCGGACCAGCCTTCACTCACTCAGCATGCTCCCATCAGCGCGGCCAGGCGAGCGCGCCACACGCTCTCTGCGGATCAGCTACCTTAGAGCTGCGCGGCACCAGGTGCTTCCTCTCGCCCGATCTTCCACCGCCCGGGACGCTCTTTCTGTCCTGCGTACAGCGTGTTTCCGGAATCACACATAGTTTGGTTTCCTGAAGGGTTCCCATGAAATGTGGTCAGGAAAACCTCGGGTACTTTCGGGAAAAGAAGCATCTGGTTATGCCCAAAGCAGAGCTGAGTCTCTCTCTTGTCTTCCTCACTTCTCCGTGTCAATCAGATTAAAGCGTATAATCCTATCTTAACGTGTATGCTGCTTTTTTCAATCAGGACAAACAACTGCTCTGCGTTTCGTTGAATTTTTTTTTTTTATTTTGTAGTCCTCACACTCTCGTCCTGAACAAATGGCTAATCTGCAGGCTGCCACACAGATCTTAACACATACTGATGAAAAGTGGGATAGCTAGCTTTAAATATCTGTAAGACGAAACAGTTTTATTCTGTAGCGTTGCATTGAGCTTTTTTCTACTAATGTTTTCAGTATTCTGTTTGAGCTTTAAGATGGAATTGCCTTTGTTTTTCAGTTAAAAATGCATTCATTCATATTTTTGGCCGCTTGGTTTAGTGTGCCAGGGATCGGGCCTTCTCCAGAAGGCATGTGCTTTACCACTGAGCTGACCCCCTAGCCTCATGAACACTTTTTTTTTTTTTAAGTTATTTAGCTCTGAGGTTAAGAAAGGAACTATGTTCCTCCGCCCCCCCCCCCCCCCCGTGTCAAAGTATACATTTTCTCTTGCCAAGTGATTTTATTATAATTTGTCTTAAGAACTGTGATTTAAAAAAAGACTCTTTGGGGGTACCACCCTCAGTTGCTCAGGGCTCACTCCTGGGAGTGCTCCCAGGACCCCACGGACTCTTACAGAGAATTAGAGGCTGGGGGACTTGCCGTGTTGACTCAGTCTCAGAGAGTTAGAAAACTGTGTCAGGGAGTAAGAGTCTCCATCAGGAATTGCAACCTGAGGGAAGTCGTTTTTTGTTCTTGATCTGTTTTGTTTTTTTCTTTTTCTTTTTTTTTTTTTTTTTGCTAATTTGTTTTTGCTTTTGGGTCACACCAGGTGATGCTCAGGGGTTGCTCCTGGCTCTGTGCTCAGGAATCACTCCTGGCGGTGCTCGGGGGGGCCATATGGGATGCCGAGAATCAAACCCGGGTCAGCAGCGTGCAAGACAAACGCCCTACCCGCTGTGCTATCGCTCCAGCCCCCTGGTTTGTATTTTTCCCCTTTCCTGTGTCGGGGAGGTGATGGCCTGGATGTCAAGCTTTCAGCTGCAGGGCTCGCCTGCCTCCCAGTCTGCAGGATTGCGGTCACTTCACTCACCTGTCTTTTTCTTTAAAAATAAAAGCATATCCAGTTTCATTGATGGATTTTTAGACAAGTTTTTCAGTTTTTGAAAAATTTAAACCTTTGCATAAAGCATCATGAAGGGGATCACAATAGATCAAAGGGTGTAGATCTGTCAAGTAGAATGAATGCCAAAGACATCATAGGGTTGGGTTTCTTGGATACCCAAGGGCAGGAGAATGGAAACTTCACAGCTGGAAGGATGGGTTGAGTTCCTTCGGAAGAATCTCGTGCTCTGTACAAAGGCCCTGACCAGTTATCTTTGGAGTGGGGCTCATCCCATCTCATGCAGTGCTCGTACTGTGTCAGGACCCAGTGCCAAGCAGGTGGGACATGGTGGTGGGGGTAAGGTAAGGTAAAGGCCCTCCCGTTGATCGTCGATTTGCTCGAGCGGGCCCAGTAACGTCTCCATTGGAGACTTTGTTGTTACTGTGTCTGGCATATCGAATACTCTCGGTAGCTTGCCGGGCTCTCCGAGAGGGGCGGAGGAATCGAACTCGGGTCGACCATGTTGGCCGCGTGTAAGGCGAACGCCCTACCCGCTGTGCTATCGCTCCAGCTTAAGGTGTCTCTGGCAGGGCCTTTCAGGGAAGCCCCTGGGCTTTCATAACACCAAGTGACCCAGCTTGTAAGAGCCCCTCTAAGACCGCTGCCAGCATTCTCGACTCACTCAAGAAAGCTCTTCTAATACAATTTTTTCCGGTTTTGGGGCCACACCCAGTGATGTACTGGCCTGACTTCTGGTGGTGGGGGTGGGGGGGTTATTCCTGGAGACAGGAAATTCATCGGGGGAGACTCAGAGCTGGGACCACACACCCCAAGAAGCAACCACAGAATCAAACTGATCTCGGTCTCTATGTCAGCCAGGAATGAAAGACAGCTCCATCAGAGAAGGCCTGGGCTGCATACCCCAGGGCTAGCACGAAAGTCAAAGCTGGGCCCACCTGGGCACACTCAAATGGGGCCAGACAGCCCGTCCCCAGAAATAACTTATCAGTTCCAACCAAATCACCACTCTAAAATAGTGCTCTGTGAGGACTGGAGAGAGAGTGCGGTGGGTAGGGCGTTTGCCGACCCACTGCACATGCTTGGCCAAGGTTTGATCCCTGCCACTCCAGTTGTTCCCCTGAGCACCATCAGGATTAATTCCTGAATGCAGAGCCAGGAGTAACCCCTGAACACAGCTGGGTGTGGCGCCCAAATCAACCAGTGCTCTTTGAGCTGTAGCAGTAGAGTAAAAAGGGGTGCATTCCACCCACTCTGGTTCTGAGTCAGTCCCAGGGAGCGAGTCAAGTACAGGCATTCAGAGAGGCCTTCCTGGTGCGAGATCTGGGACTTGGGGCCCCCTATGGCTGGCCCCACACCTTGGCCATGAGCTCCTCCCTGATGTTGCATAGTTGAGTCACACACACCAGGCTGCGGTAGGATGCAGAGCACAGGATATTTTTTTTCTTTGTGTTTTGTTTGTTTTTAGGGCTCCAACCAGTGATGTCAGAACTGGCTCTGCACTCAGAGCTCACTCCTGGCAGGTTCAGGGGCCCATATGGGATTCTGGGGATTCAGCCTGGGTTGACCGCATGCAAGGCAAACGCCCTGCCTGCTGTACTATCACTACGGCACTTAGTCTTTTTTGGGGGAGGGGAACTCACACCCAGTGATACTCTGGGGTTGCCTCTGGCTCTGTACTCAGGAATCACTCCTGGCAGTGCTCGGGGGACCATATGGGATGCCAGGGATCGAACCCAGGTCGGCCGCATATAAGGCAAACACCTTCCCAGCTGTGCTATGGCTCCGGCCCTTAATTCTAGTTTAAGTCACATGTTTATATGGTGGACAGTTCCTGCCCTGCACCACCTCCGAAGTGGCCAGGACTGTCCCCACTCTGCCTTTCCGTGACTCCTGGCCCGCCCCCGCTTCCCTCCACACCCGCTCCTGATGACTTAGTAACCTCCATTTTGTAAACCAGGGCCAAGGGCTTGTTGTTCAATAACGCATCTGAGTTTCCAGACATCAGACTTGGTGGGACCCACTTAAGGTGTCTCTGGCAGGGCCTTTCAGGGAAGCCCCTGGGCTTTCATAACACCAAGTGACCCAGCTTGTAAGAGCCCCTCTAAGACCGCTGCCAGCATTCTCGACTCACTCAAGAAAGCTCTTCTAATACAATTTTTTCCGGTTTTGGGGCCACACCCAGTGATGTACTGGCCTGACTTCTGGCTCTGTCCTCAGGGATCACTCCTGGCGGGGCTTGAGGACCCTATGGGATGCTGGGGATGGAACCGTGGGCAAGATAAATTCTGCTCCAAGCCCCGGAAAACTCTTAAAAATGAACTAGGGCGGTAGCGGCCACGTGACATCGTATGGTTTTCATAACCAGCAGTAGAAAACAAATTATTTCATGATGTCATGATGCCTTTTCAGCAGGTTTGATTGTTGGGGGAAAATTCCAAACAATAATGGTGCATCTTTTGTCGAAATAATGAATGTAATCAAAGTAGAGAGAGAGTTAAATGGAAATCATCTGCCTCACAGGCATGGAGGGGGGTATACTGGGGTTCTTGGTGGTGAAAACTGTGCACTGGTGAAGGGATGGGTGTTTGATCATTGTATGACTGAAACTTAAACCTGAAAGCTTTGTAACTGTTCTCACAGTGATTCAATAAATAAATATCCTAAACTAGGGGCTGGAGCAATAATAGAACAGCGGGTAGGGCATTTGCCTTGCACATGGCCGACCCAGGTTCGATTTCCAGCATCCCATATGGTCCCCTGAACACCGCCAGGAGTAATTCCTGAGTGCAGAGCCAGGAGGAACCCCTGAGGATTGCAGGGTGTAACCCTCCCCCAAATAAAAAAACCCTAGCTTATTTTTCAACTCAGAAGTGTTTTTTAAGTTCAAAAACATTCCTCTAGGGCCAGAGAGATAGTGCAAGTGGGGAAGACAATCGATCCCTGGCACTCATGCGGCTTCCTGGGTACTCCAGGAGAGGTCACTGAGCACAAAGCCCTTGATGGCATGTATGAGCCTGGGCCTCAGAAATGGGGGGAGTGGGGCTCAGGAACGGGTGCTCAGGGTGTGGGGCTTGGGAACCAGTGCTGAGGGGCAGGGCGCGCTATTGCACCTGCTCTTCAGCATCTGAGAGCTCGGCAGGGTTTGTGCTGACTAGGTCAGGGACACTGAAGTGACCCCACCGCTGCTAACCCAGTCCCAACCAAGGTGTCACCAAGACCCTCTGTCCAGCAGACCGGCTCCTGGTAGTTTGTTTTTTCCAGTTCTTCCTCTTCGGTTGTGATTTCTAGTCTGCACGTTTACCTCGACAGGTAAGGGCATCATTGGTAGCAGTTGACAGTTTCCAAAGGGTAGAGATTCGGCGGCTGTGGAGTCCTGGGTTTCAAATGAGAATATGTTTGCCGCTAACACTGAGCCGCTCACATCCCCCACCTTCCGCACAAGATTGTGATGTTGCCCCCCACCCCTCGGGGACTTTTCTCCAGGTTGCTGACAGCTTCGGAGTTTCATACAAACAGATGGAGCTGCAGTGAGCTGACCCTGAGTTACTATTCTGTCTCTGAACACGATGGTAGATGCTCATAGAAACACAAGTATTCTATTTTCCTGACGGGAAAGAAATACTTTGTAAGCATTTATTTTAATAGGGCTGGAGCGATAGAACAGTGGTAGGGCATTTGCGTTGTGCACAGCCAACCCGGCCGAGCCCGGATCGATTCCTCCACTCCTCTCGGAGAGCCCAGCAGGCTACCTCGAGTATCTCGCCCGCAAGGCAGAGCCTGGCAAGCTACCTGTGACGTATTCGATATGCCAAACACAGTAACAAAAAGTCTCAAAATGTAGACATTACTGGGCCCGCTCGAGCAAATCGATGAACAATGGGAGG